TGAGTTCCTTGTTGGACCAGGAAATGTGGGGATTGTGTAACTGTAGCCAAGGGAAACCGAGAATAAGTGGGAGAGAAGGAGAACGGAGGAGGAGAAGCTGAGTACGTTCCAGGTGGGTGGCACCAATACACAGGGAGAGGAGAATGGTCTGCCACTCCACCAATCCCGGAGAGAGGGAGGAGCCATCGATGGACTGGATGCAGATGGGAGGGGAGACGGGCAGTAGGGGAATCTTCAATGAGGCAGCGAGTCCGGAATCTAAGAAGTTTCCTGCTGCACCTGAGTCAATGAAAGCAAAGAGGGATTTGTGAGAGACCCCAGGAGAGAGCGGCAGGGAGGGAGAGTCCAGAGGCAGAAGGGTTGAGGGAAAGGATACTGACCTTTGGACAGCGCCCCTCTGACAGTCGGCGGTTGCGTTCCTCCGGAGTAAGAGTAAACGAGGAGGGCGTGGGAGGTGCGGCAAGAGTGGAACCGGGAGCGTTCCGGCTGGCAGCAGAACGGAGCATGAGACGTCCTTCGTTGCTGTAGGCGGACATCGATCTCTGTGGCCAAGGAAACAAGACTCTCCAGGGTCAGCGTACGGTAAGGGAATTGGGCCAGACGATCCTTAAGTTCCTCGGAAAGACCAGCACGGAACTGATGGATGAGGCCTTCTTGATTCCAAGCGAGCTGAGAGGTCCGTTACATATTCCTGGAGGGGGCGGGTACCCTGCGACAATGCCGATAGACGCGAGGCGGCGAAGTAGGAAGATTGCACCTGTCTGAAGGTGGCCATCAGCGCTGCCTGGAACTGTGCTACGTCCAAGCTCTCGGGGACATTCCTGGGGAGAAGACCTGCAGCCCACTGCATCGCCCAGCCAGAGAGGTAAGCGACCATAAATGCAATACATTCGCGGTCAGTTCGAAAACAATCCGGACGAAGGCTGAAAGCCATCTAGCATTGTGTCAGATAAGCCTGACACATATTTGGGGAGCCATCAAATCAGTCCGGTGTGGGAGGAGGCAGGGGAGAAGAGGAGGCAAGAGAAACTGGAGGCAGAGTGGGATTAACGGAAGGGTGGGAAACAAGAGGCTGAGGAGGGGAGCTGGAGACCAGGCATTGATCTGGTCAAGAGCCTGAGAGTGCTGGGACAGCAGTCACATGGGATTAAACGAGCCCGCGGGATCCATATTTTGGCTCACGATTCTGTCATGCTGGGGCTGACTGCGGAGGATTGGGATCCAATGCGGTGCTCTAGGAAGGGTAGGCGCAAGACGTAGACGTATCAGAGTAAACAAGCAGGGGCCCGAGTCTGGGAAGGCGTAGAAGAGGAGTTGACGTAGAATCGGAAGGCATAGGTGTAATCAAGGAAACAGGCTGGGGTCGAAGTCCGGGAAGGCGTTGAAGAGGCGTCAGAGTGGATTCAGAAGGCGGAGGCGTAATCAAGGAGACTGGTAGGGGTCGGAGTCCGGGAAGGCGTTGAAGAGGCGTCGGCGTGGAATCAGAAGGCGAAGGTGGAATCAAGGAAACAGGCTGGGGTCAGGATCCAAGAGAGTGTTGTAGAGGCGTAGGTACGAAATCGAGTGGCTAAGGCGAAGTCGAAAAAAGCAGGGTCAAGGTCCAGGAGAGAAACAGTTGTATCGCGAAGGAGTTGGTCAAAAGTAAGCTCAGGGAGAGAATCTCAATCGTGAGCACTGACAGGGGGACTAATGAGGGTTTAAATAGGGGACTGATTGAAGCGTGCATGTTTGGTACGGGGAGAGCTCATGGGAATGCGGGAGCGCTTGCCTGCGTGAGGGAAATTCATGACAGTATAATAGATCTTTTTTTTTGTTGTTTTTTATTTAGCGATGAAAAGATTTACAAACAGAACATGTCCAAAACAACAAAATAAACATTTGCCTTTATCTGTCATTTTTGTTACAATATGTTCATACATGCTTACCAGGAGGTATGGAGGGTTATACAAGAAAATACAATTGTCTGACGAGAAACACAACAAACAAAAATAGTCCACACAGAAATATTACTGTATATTCTCTCATAAGATGAAATCAGGTCTCAGTGGGGAGATTAATTAACCTGTAACCTGAGAGAAAAAATATTCTCCATTATATAGATTTAATTCACAACATTAACCCATTGTTCACGTGTTGGAGATTCTTTTATAAGCCATTTTCTGCTACTATCGAGGGCTACTAGAAGAATCCCTCATATGTACCTTATCTATCCTTTACTTCAGTTTGATCAAAGTCAAAATTGCGCAAATACATAACAGAAAATTCAAATGGTATGTTCACATTTACTAATTTTGTTAAGGGTTATATATAAAGATTTCCAATATTGTTGTATTTTTGGGCATGACCAGAATATGCGTGAGAGAGTCGCACCTTGCTCTCCACATAACCTCCAACACTGTCAGCTGCTGCCTTTTTGTTTGGCTTGAATTTTAGGGCTGATAAAAAAACGGGTCAGATTTCTCCAACAGAAGTTTCTCCCAAGTCCGTGTACTTGATCTACAGAAATTGTTGTATTGATTTCTTTTTCCCATTTTATTTTAATATATTCTGAGAATTTTTTAAAATTTATTCATTACTATTGTACAGCTTTGATATTATTTTTCTCAAGTTACCCTGCTGATAAGAAGCTATAAAATTATCAGGCAGTTTATTGCCTTCTGTTATATGTGGTTGCTATCTCCAGCTGTTTAGATAATGTCTGATTTGAAGATATCTGTAAAAATATTTTTTTTCCAGATTGTATTGTTGTGATAGATCTTCAGAGTTTTTCAAATGATCCAGTTTCACTAAAGTACATATTGCTGTAATCCCTTTCATTGCCCAAATCCTAAATCGTGTGTCAGATCTCCCAGAAGGCAAATTTGAATCGAAAACTATCCACCTTAATATTTTAACCTCTCTTTCTAAGTCATAGGCTTTTATTATCTTAAACCAAATTTTAATTGGTAAAGTTATCTTGGGTATAGCTGTTTTACATATAGTTTCTGCCAATGATCGATCTCCCAGGACCATCTGTATTGGAAATTCAGCTATAATCAAAGAACTATCTCCTTCCATTTTGCACTTTAATATCTATCGCACCAGCAAATTACTGTAGTGTTCTAAGCCGAGCTGCTTGGTAGTATGACTTTAGGCAAGGCAGGGATAAACCACCTTTCTCTTTGGTCAGTGTTTTTAATTTAATTCTTGGCTTCCTTCCATTCCAAATGAATCTTGAAATCATTTTATCCCATTCATTACATTGTTCTGATGAGATTTCCACTGGAAGAGACTAAAAAAGATATAGTAATCACGGCAGAATATTAATTTTAATAACTTCCACTCTAGATCCCAGTGAGAGAGGCAATAAACTCCAGCCAGCCAGGGCATCTTTTATTTTACATATTAAAGGGCTGAAATTTAAATTAAATAATTTTGATACATCTTTTGGTAAACATACTCCCAAATATGTAATAGATGGTGATAGTCAATTTAACTTAAATGTTTCTTTTACTTGATCTGTGGGATTATAATTAAAACATAAAACATCTGTTTTTTCTATATTTAATTTGTACCCTGATACCTGACCATATTTTTCCAAAAGATCCATAACTCTGATAAACCATTCATTGGGGTCATCCAAATATACTGTAGCAGGGTATTATCTGCATACAATGTGATCTTATGTTTTTGTCCTTTACTTTCTATCCCTTTAATTTCTGAGTCTTGTCTAATCCATTCTGCTAAAGGTTCTATATACAGAGAGGTGACAGGGGACACCCCTGTCTTGTACCTCTTTTCAAACACAATCTCTTAGAGAGATGTCCGTTGATCTAAATTTGTGCTGTAGGATTTAAATTGTTTTTATTATATAGATAAATTCATCAACAAATCCAAATTTCTCTATTGTCCAATATAAAAATTCCCAATTGACCCGGTCAAAGGCTTTTTCTGCATATAGACTAACTAAAATCACCTCCTTCCCTTGATAATCGATATGCTTCATAATATGAAGGGTGCTCCTAATATTGTCTTGTGTTTGTTCTGAATAAAACAGGTTTGATCTAAATTTATTATCTGAGGTAATATTTTCTCTGATGTTTTGGCCATTATTGAAGCATAAATCTTGTCATCTACATTAAGTACAGAGATTGGGGGAAAAGACCCACATCTAGTTTTATCTTTTCCTTCTTTTGGGATACGCCTTGGTTTGCTCAATTCGTTCCTCCACTTCGTTTACCCTTTTATTTGTTCTGTTTATTTCTTCAGTAAAGTCCATTACTTTTTTTGTTAATATCCCTTCTGAAATCCTTCAGTTTGTTAAAGATTTTCTCAAAGCTCACAGTGGATTCGCAGTCTCCAGATTCTACGGGCTGGCTCCTTACGCCCTGCTAGGCAGGGGAGGACTATTTCAATCTCCCTGTTCCTCTTCAACGTCCTTTGTTGGGTAGTTTTGAGTGTTTTTACGTCCTCTTCCTCATTTTTCCAATGTCACCCAACACTGTATTTGTTTTAAATTATTTAAATTACTTATTTGACAAGATTGTTGAGGTTTTTTTTAAACAACCAAGAAAGCGAAAGAACTAAGCAGCCATTGCTAACGTGGCATCACTGGAGACCCCCCCAGTAGTTCAATTTTTATAAACTAAATAAATATACATTTCAGTGTTTATTCGCTATGTGTGTATAGTGTCCTGAGCACTAATTCAGAAAATGAGTTCTAAGAAGAATGCAGAGACACAAAAATCAAACACAAAGCTATTGTTGTGTAGTAAATATATTTAGATATCTTTTCAGCCAAAGCAAAGATATACTACCATCAAGAGTTATCTATCGTGATATCTTCAGTCTCTTTCCTGTAAATAACATGTAAGGAACAGCAACATGTGGAAAGGTTGTGGTAGTACATCTCCAGAACTGGTACTTCAGCTTTGTTTCCTCTGCAAAATAATTTTGCTCCCACCTGGCCTGCTTTAACCTTCTTTTTCTTCTTTTACATCTACTGTTTTTTATTCTCCTAGAGTCCCACCGAGGGGTCTGGTAAGATGCCTTTGGAGCCAGGGGATCTGTTAATGGACTTCACTGAAGCCACGCCTCTGGTAAAAGCAGCTTTAATGGCAACAGAGACATTTTTTACACTGCCGTTTAGCTGCCTGGCATCAGGAAAATGCCATGGATGCTTGAGTTGTTATGGTGGGGTTTATTGAAGGCACATTCAGCAGTTGAAGCACTTCCCCTGAATGCCCGACCCCTTCTGATGCGAGCGATCCAGGTTCACACCAAGATGTGATTACCCCTCGTCAGAGCAGGATGCACTATGCACAATACATCACTCACACTGCGTGGCCGTTGTCTGTGAGGTGCTGTGCTGTGTTTTGTGTCTGCTGGGGTTTTTGTGCACTCTTGATCCTTGTCCTTTACAGGTTGATGTAAGAAAAAACCTATACATTACCAACAATTACCACAACAGAGATTTACTGTCTAAAACTCATGATAAAGTCACAGCAGTGGTAAAAGATTGGTTATCCCTTCATGTCTACTGTATATACTGTTGTATGTACATACGTGATATGTTTATACATACAGTCAGAGTAACACACACATTAATGTTCTTTCTACACATAAATGTTTCTTTTGGTTGTGTTTGTGTGTGTTGATTTTATGTGCACATTATTTTACTCTTGCATGTATGTTCTGCACATTTGTGCAAAAAATGTAGTGTTGAAGGTTGAAAATGCCGTCGATGTGTTTTAACAACTGCGGGTGTAATGAAATAACAATCATCCATTTAAAATATAGCTGCCTCTTCTGTGCTAGCCAGTACTGCCAGGTAGATCTTTAATAGGCCAGGAAAATAACTAGATGCTTTTAGCAATGATACAGCACTGCTGTGCTTTTCAAGTCGTTATGAAATTAAGTTTCACACTAAAACAACTACTCCACAGGCCTGCAAAATCCTCTAGGTCAGTTCAGTGTTAGGGCTTAACAATTACAAATAATTGAGCATAGTTTTTCACTTGTAACTTGTTCTTGGACAGAGTTTAGCCATAAGTGTGTCAATTCTACTAAATAATAATGAAGTGTTGTATAGTAAAATACTACTTATACTATTGTTTATTGTATATAAAAGTATCATAATATGTTATTATTTAATATAGCTAATGATATTATTGCTAGAAAAATTGTAATTGTATTGTAGAAACTCAAAGCACTGTTTAATAGCACACAATCACACAATGAACGACAGAACAGAAGTAAAACAAAATTGAAAGACTGTTAAACTAAGAGTAAGACTAAATCGCCTTTTCAAAGCTTTACTAAAAACAGGTTTTTAAGTGAATATTGGAATTGTCTAATACAAATGCCTAAAATAATTATTTCAGTCTGCATGAATAAAAGCTGTAACAAAAGTTGCTGCACCTAAACATTTTCTGCTGTGTTCCCTGTGTTTTTTTTAAATAAGCTCAGCAGACAACAGAAATCTCAAGTTTGTTGACATCAACGGTATTTTCAAGTATTTCAACACTTACTGATCTGTTTGGAATTCAAGAAGCTTTGTAAGCTTGAGAGAAGAAAAAGGAAAAGATTAATTTCAAACACTGTTGGCCTTGAGTTCTGCACTGATTTGTCTAAGATGCATTAATTCAGTGTAATCTCTGAAGCAAAGTCCTGTGTTAAACTGTGTACCAGTCAAGACACTGTGGTGTTTACTGCTTTTTAAAACAAGAAAAGAAAAAAGAAACTCCCAATGTGATTTAATCAAGAAGACGCATTTAAACAGCCTACTATATAGTCAGCAATTAAATTGGGTCTAGGGAAACTTTAAATGACAGCTTTCAAGTTTATTGCTTTATGTTCTTGTGAGAACAAACGGGCAAACGTAACATACAGTACAAGCGTTTTGTTAATATGGCCCTGTTGGTCTTTCAGTGTAGTTTTTTTTTTATTTTGAAAATGTTATTTATACTGTAAATGTTTTTCTGCTATGTTTGTGGGAGGGTTTCTCTATAATTTGGAGCACAGTTTCAAGAGAAAGTCGTTCCCAAATGCCACATGTGCACAGGGAACAGAGGAGTAATGGGTGTCTTTGGTCCCTGCCCATTCTTGTGCCCAGGTAATGTGCGAGACTGAGGGCCAGGACTCTGCTCGGCTGCTTGCTTGTTGGCCTTCTGTCAGCCTGCCTGGCCGACCACACTGTGCTCTGCCCACAGTGGGCTGTGAGCGGTTCAGTTTGAAGTACTGAACCAAACGGTGTGGTAGCTTCTTGAGAATCTCTCTATGTAGAACATACAATAACTTCATTACAGCAGGCACTGAGGTAGCACAGACTGCAATATGTTTTTGGAACAGTGGCCACATCAGAATGAATAGCCATGATCATTATAATTGTGATCACCAGGCAGTTCAGAGAGAGAAATAATGTGATTCTTAAGGTGTAACATTTCCGTAATTTCAAATCTCAATAAGGCAGGCAGAGATCTGCGCAGAGACCCAGAGAATTAATACGTTCTTTGCTGGGAGCTAAATACACACTGAAATCTCAAGGCAAACTGTTTGGGGATTTAGTTTTTTTTTTTCTCTTTTCTTCTTCAAACTTACAAGTGATGTTTTCTGTTTGCCGTTGTCAAATGCAATATAGAGGCATTTGCACTGCGGAGAAGCCAGAAGGTTACTGAGTTACTATTCTCTTCTTCAATCCCTTTAGATAAAAACAGTACCTTCTGACCCAGCAGACACCTTTTATGATCCATTTTCACCTGTGCCACAATTCTCATTCAGCCAGGTAATGAGTCCACACACCTGCACTTCTCTGTTGAGGTATCAGTACCAACAAACTAACTTCTCCTTTTGTCCACAATTACTCCCTCAACTTCCCCAGTTGACAATATTCACAACACTTTACTTCCGCCTGCTAGGTAATTAGCATTATGGAGCATAATGTTTTAATAGTTGTATAGTATACTGCATATTGTTATTAAAAATATAACAAGACAAGTTATACATAGTTCTAAATGCAAAACTACTGCACATCTGTCTGTGAGTGGAAGAATAGATCTCTCCTCCTGATTATTAAACATCTTAACTCTAAATAATCTTGGTTTCTTCCATATTAAGCCCCATTTCATTGGTCAAGGTGCAGCTATATCATGCCCTAATAAGGAAGATACAGATATCCATGGCTGCTGATCTTGACTTCTTGAAGTCTGTCTGGATTGTTCTTCTTTCTATCATTATGAGCAGGTCATGGATAATGATTATACACGTATCCAGTAGACAGATGAAGTGTGTACACCTCATATAGACATGATCAACAGGTGGTATTTGCCTATGGAAATCAAGCCCTGGGTCATTGAACATTATGTAATGAGGGTGGAGTCTGCTGCAATACCTAAAAACATAAAAAACAGGAAATGCTGAGCAGGGTGTGATGTGGCTGTGTACAGTTTTCCTTAGATTTCAAGATGAAAAAGTAAGCAATAAAGAGAGAGAACATCTATTCATCTAACTTGATTTCATTTAATCTAAATTGAACTAATTAATTAAGCTTGCTGTGTTTTGCAGTGCCATGTAATCGCTCTGTGGAACACGGCAGTGGGATATGTAGTATATCCAGAAGTAAGGAGTTCAGAGTGACTTGTAACAATGGGCAATTTGCTGCTACTTCGGATGAAGAAAAACAAGATGAGAAAAAGAAAATAACAATACCGACAGGGGGGAAAATGCAAATATTATTCCATAACAATAATGAGAGCTGTGTTGTGGCATTTGCTTGCAGGCAGAGCTGCCAGTTCTAGATGTGCGGCCGCAGTGCTGTGACCACCCTCTGTCACCGGCCAAGCCTCTGCAGGGGCCTCATGGCCACACCGGTCGCTCGGTGATGGAGCTGGGCCCAGGCCTGCGGCCTCTCCACCGAAACACAGTCCTGATGGGCAGGTAACCACCAGCGTGCTTCCTCTCCACCGGCAGATCTTCCCAACGCGGAGTCGCCTCAGTCCTTCTTCACGCGCCTGGACAAATGTCCTCGGGGCTCTCCCTCCAGAGCGGGGGTGTCTGATAATCCGAATGTTGCTGATGCTCTATTTCGCGCTAGCTGCACAGCTTAGTCTGAGGGTTGGCTGGGATTCTCGAGTACCGGCGCATGGGTAGCTAGATTCAGCACAAACCAGCAGGGTGATTTCCAAAGAGCTCTGCTCCAGCAAATTCTGCCACAGGACCAAAAACCTTTGAGAGATATCCTATTAAACAAATGTCTTAAAGCATTTCCTGGCTGACTGAAAAAAGTAAACATTTTTGTGATGCACACAGTGGGGGATGCATCATGCTTCACTTTACTGAGATGGGGAACTGAAGCAACTCCAGACTTTACAGTCCTCGTGCAGTGTGGATTTGATTCTCTTGTAAAATTCCTGGATATCTGACCGGAGAAGACAATTTGGAATAGTGGGAGAAGGATCAAAACAGGAAAGGGGAATTAAATAAACATAGTGTGATTCAAAATGGGAAAAATCATATCATAGTAAAATACAGGTATGAAGTAATCAGTATTCTCAGATTGATACTAACAAGATCAGGTCTAATAAGTTCAAATAAGTAGCTGCGTCAGCAAGCATAGGCTGCAAAGAACAAGTAACGGTTTATTCCATGCTGAAAAGAATAGATAAGAAGCACAACGTTTAGACTGTGGAGCGTTCTTTTGGTGTCACTCAGAGAAGGCTCCACAACCAAAACATTGTTGTTCTTTTCTTCTATATATATGGAATACATATGGAATAAACCTTAATTTTTTCATTTACAGATAAGGTTTACTTTAACTTAATTAAATAACATAAAAATACTATTTTTCATTTCAAAATTATGCTTCTAACATATTACACATCAGCCTGGAATGTGTTAGTGGCTACCTACCGGATGTTGCAAGCCTTTTAAACAGTCTGCATTTGTTGCTGTTGTGTGCATTTATAACATTTTCTCCTTTTATAACCATCTATCATTTAAAAATGTTCTGCAATTTGATATTAACACTTCTATTAATATAACAGAGACTGCAGTACAGTAGAACGATACCTCTTTTAATGACTATAAACACGTTACTACCCACATTGTGAATGTTGTAGTCTGTGGTTCATCAGATCACACCACTAGGTAAACCTTTTAAAAGTAAAACAAAAAACTAACTATATATAAAGTATATAGTTAGTATACTATTATACTATTAGATTAATAGTACAAAACTGGCACTGTTTATGGTGTTCTTCAGCTAAAGTGACACTCAACCATTTTGTTTTTAAGAGAGTAGCTGCCATTCCTAACGAAGGACACAGTACCAACACTATCCCTGTCAAAATGTGTTTATGTTTTATACCCTCGGTGCTTTCAGTACCTTGTACTGATGAGCCCCTGTCAGGGCAAGACTAGAGTGCAGTCACTAAATTATTTGAATTCTTGTTAATTGTGATGCTACTGACAAAGACAGTGGAGTTCCATTTTGTGATTTGATTTAGTATAATGTATACAGTGGCTTTCATCACTATTCAGAGCTTTGCTATGGTGACCCATTTCTGCTTATGCATTCTTCATAAGTATTCAGACCTGTGAAATCAATGTTCAATTGAAGCTCCTTTGGCAACAGTTACAGGTGTAAGTCTCCTTTGGTAAGTCTCCACCAGCTTTATACAAAGTTATGGTGAATATTTTGTCTATTCGTTTGCTTGGGTATCACTTTTGGACAGCAGTTTTCAAGCCTTTCTACTGATTCTCAATAGGATTTAAGTCAGGACTCAATGACATTTACTTTGTTATTCTAATCCCCTCCTTGTAGCTTTGACCTGAAACTTTGTCCTTTTTTATGTCTGAAGTATGTTTTGCCAGGACTTTTTTCCATCTATGTTCCCACATACAACACAATGCTGCCCTAACCATACTTGACAGTAGTAAAGGTCTGAGTAATGCATTATGCTGGGTTTGTGTCAAATGTAATAATTTGCATTTAGACTAAAAAGTTCCCATTTTGTCTTGTCTTACCACAAAACCTTTTGCCCTATTTTTGCAGTGTCACTTAGGTGCTTTCTCGCAAACCCCATGTAGGATTTGCGTCTTTCTTTCAGTCCCATACAAATGCTTTTTAGTGGAGTAACGGGGATATTGTTGAGTGACTTTTCTTCTTCCTTCCCAGTCAGTGAACTCTTTGAAAGTTCCCATTGACTTGCCTGGTTACTCAATTTGGGGGAACAGGCTTTTTTTCATCTTTATCCCCGAGTTGTTTTGAAGGCCCATTGTTCATGATGGTTGAGTCTTTGCTTGAAATTCACTTCCTGACTGAGTGACCTTACAGGTCACCAGACAGGTGTATTTAATGTGAAGTGATGTGAACCACTACCGTTGTGCACAGACAGGAGCCACTGAACTAACTGTCTCAATCATCTTTTCCATTTTTCTTTCAAATTACTTATCTGTTTACTTCTTTCTTTTTGCTTTGAATGTGTAGAGTAGGTTAAATACACAACCAATATTCATTGCTGCTTCCACTTGTCATGCCTGCCAGCTTTTAAAGGAAACGGAAAGTATGCAGGGGTCTGAATACTTTTGCAGGGTGCTGTGCCTATCTGCATGTCAGGAGGAAGGTGGGGGGGGCTCTTGCATCCTGTACTAAGTGTCATTTTCTGGCCCCCCTTATAGTTCCGAAGCTCTGAGGCGGGAGCTGGACCGAGAGAAGCTGCTGAAGAGGCTCCTGATGACTGAACTGTGACCCCGAATCAGAGAGGAGAGTGCCCTCCTGTGTGCCTTCAGAGCGTTTACATTCCTAAGCCCCCTTCTCAAAGAGCTGCACCTGTAATGGAGCTCCTGTTTACATCCTCCGTGCATTACATCTGTTTTTCCTAAGCCCACATATGCTCATGCATATACATACACACACGTAACATGTATTGTCACACAGAGATGTGCACATGCAAATATACTGTACAGTATACAGTATAACACATGCACATACACATTGCAAATGGTTAACATTTGCTGGGCATTTGTGCCAATGCTGAAGGTGTATTCACCCAGCACTGGCACCAAAAACAGAAGTGACAAGAGCCTATATAAGAAGCTGTACTTCATTCCTAGAAACTCTAGGAGCCTCTCCTGTACATAGTGTAACATCACAGCACCCTACTTTAATGGTAGAGATGGTTGCTAAGCAGGAGATTTAGGGGGCAAACAACAGTTGGATACACAAAATGACTTTTGATGAATAATTCGATTTGTTCATGTTTTTATGCAGAATTCCACATATGTATATATTTCCAGCAGAATCTTGATTTTCTTATCTTTACAGTGTTTGCAGAAAGCTTTAATGTAAAGAAAAGCAGTGCAATGATGTTAAATTAAAAGGCTTGTTCCTGTGAATCAGTTTAAAATGTCAGAAAACTGGCTTTAACTTTTGTGGGGTCCTTTTATTCATTTTGCTTTTTCTTGTCTGTGCTTTCTATTTGAAATGGTAAAAGTAATAGTAACAGTAAGCCTTACGATTTCATTACTATAGCTGCATTTTGACTTCTGCCTTCTATGCAAGGTTTAGGATAATACTTTTTTGTAGATTAATTAATGTTCTAAATGAAAGCATCTCTGTTGCCTTGTGTAGTTTAGATTTCACTTTATGACTTCTCTCTCGGTTCCTAAGGTTAACTAAGGACCTGCTGATGAATTCACAGTGAAAGGGTTGATCAGACCCACTACTGTAGTGACTCTTTCACACTGACTGCCCTTGTTTGCCGGTGTTGTCCATATTTTCTGGACTTTCCATTCTTGATTAGTCTGATAGTTTTGCTTATCAAAACCTAGTAAGAAGGGATACAGTCTCAAGCAGAGTAATTTATAAATTTAGAGACTGAGTTCAATTTGTTTAGGGGCCATAACATCAAAGATGTTTTTAGCTTCATGCCAAATTATTTAAAACTTGTATTTAGTGGTTGTGTGTTGTGCTTAATTTTCCCTATACAACAAGTCATACTTGCAGATGAAGACCAGACTTCAGCTGAAAGGTTACTATATTCTTAAAACTGAAGAACAGTTATAAATGAGAAGAGGCCATTTAGCCCATGCAGCTTGTTGGGTAATTGACTCAAGAATCTCATCCAGCCGTCTCTCGAAACAAACCAGGGTATCGCTTTCAACAACATGGATGAGAAGCTTGTTCCACTCTCCCACAACTCTGTGAGTAAGGAAATGCCTCCTGTTTCCAGTCTTAAATGCTCTTCCACATTGTTTGCACACGTGTGTGTCTTAACACACAACAGGCTACATTCATAGATGTGCAAAAATACTGGGGCCCCTGGACAGAGGATTTGAAGAGGGTGAACCCTAAAATAGTGATGCAGGGTATAAACCAAAGTCCTCTGAATAAACACAGGGAAAACACAATAGTGAAGTGGAAATGACAGTGATTCTTCAGTGGAGAGCACAGAATTCACACATGGCCTCCGTCATAATAAAAGCTGGAGCATAAAGTGTTTATTATACCGACTGCATTTCTTCAGACACTAAGTTTCTAGACACGTTTCTCTTTATTTCTGCAAGCACTCGTCTGGTTGTACTTACGTTCTCAACATTAGACCGACATTACTCAAACTTTTCACAGTGCTCGTGAAACTTTCTGATGGTCTTGATCTTTCCTAATGTTGATTATACAGTTACCTGAAGATTTGGACAGCACTTTTGGTTCAAAAATAAAAAACGCACAATTGATGTGTAGAAATGAAATAAATGGGAATCAAAAACTTTTTTGGGTTTAGTGCCGGTATAATTGTCAAAATGATGATCTCCTTCATCAGGAAAAAAATGATTCAGTTTAAAGGTGGAGAATAAAAATGGTGAAGTGTTCTGCAGCCTTGGAGAACACCTGACTGGCACACATCCCACAACTCAAAAACTGCTGGTTAAGACTAGGGGAAGAAGCTGGCATGAGGGAAAAGGCCTCAGTCTAAGGAATGGGGCCTCAGAAAAGGGTTCATAGCATAATCAATGAGAATCTTGATGAGCCTTTTTATAGCTCTGAACATAGGAATTGAAATATATGTATCATCATGTAAAATTTACAAAACACAGTATTGGTTACCATGTGCATTTGTACCACAAAGTCTGATAAACTAAAAGTATTTATAATATATAATGTTTAAAAGTACTGTATTTACTTTTACAAAATGTAGTGTTGGATACTATTGTGAGCTCGGACAAGGCTGCGACGCTGAATTGGATGAAGTGATTAGAAAATAGAAGGATGAATGGATAAAGTGTAGCATCATCAGAGGGCGATTCCCTCTTTGTCATTGTTTTACTTGTTTGTTTTTTTTAAGCATAAAGCTGTATTTCTAAATGGCATTAGAACAGGGTTGCTTTCAGACAGAAGTTCAAATTTGCTGGTCCATGTATTTTTTTAGAAAAAAGAGAAAATCTTTAATATTGTATTTTCCCTGTATAAAGAAACATGAGGTGCAAAAGCATGCTTTTTATATGACACTGTTGTTTAATCTTTTTAGGCATTTTTTTCCAAAAATCCTTTCATCAATTATTTAATCTGATTTTTAAAGTTCTTAAATATCTACATTTGATATCAACATAGTGTCCATTTCATCTATTTACTATACACTGTTCTAAAATGAATGTAAATAGTTTGTAAATATTTAAAGTAGTACCACTCAAATACAGCTTTCTTTCACACAACACATTTTCCTAATTGAATTGTATATGTAATTGGGAGGTGATTTTAATACGCAAAATGTATTCTGTGCATTTTCATGACAGAGTGCATGGTACACTGAACAAAGTATTTTCTATTGCTGCCGTTTATGAATTTCTACTAAAGAAACGTCAACTTTTATGAATAAAGTGGCGTTTATGTGTCTACTTGTGGTAATTATTTGGAATGTTAATTTCTGCATGAGCAGATTGTCCTGTAAATGATGAATCTGTCTTGTCCTAAGTTGGAGCTTCTCTGTTTCTTTTAACAACCTAAAAAAAGGATGAGAAAAAGACACATGTGTGTCTGGATTATATCAAAACTTTAGCCCCATCAGCTGAATGGAAATGATTAACCCGGTACCTGCTAGGTTCTACCTTGAAACCTGGATTCTTTAAGGGGTGTGTTTTTTGTGACAATAAGGTAGAAGCATAAGCTTAAGCCAAATGAAAGGTAAAGATGCTTTTAGTTTTCCAATTTTTATTACTAAAATAGGCTTCGTCTCTTTACCCAAAATAAATGCAACAAAATTCCTTTTTGCTTTAATGGACAAGATGCTGCATTTAAACAGCAGTGTTAAGGGCTCTGAACCAGAAGGGTGTTGGTTCAGGTCCGGGGCCGAACACTACTATTGTACAGTAAATGGCCTATATAAGTGGATATCATAATTAGAAATTAGAACTTTTTCTCGGTTGACTAACCTGATAACTGGAACCTGGAATTATTAAAACATGATGTCTTTGTATTAAATGCCAAAATGAAAATGCTGCAAACAAAAATAAAACAGAGAAACTGAAGCATGCAGTTGTACAAAGTCTGCATACAGTATTGTGATAGAAAAACTGAAAAAAATGCTTTGAAGCCAAGGTTAGTTTTGCTGTTATGCTTGTCCAGCAATGTTGTGGCCTATATTCTTTATGCATTGTCTCTTCTTAATTGTAAAACCTGTGGCAAAGTAAAATCATGTTACAGTAAAGTAAAAAGCACCCTGTGATAAAGAAGAGCTTTTAAAGTGGGATTCGGGAGATATTGATCCTTCCCAATCACGCTCTGCCTGTTAGCTTTTGTGCTACAATTTGGAATAAACATTTTTTTCCTGTGTTCAAAACACAATTTCTCAGGAAATGTGCAAAGAAATTGGCATTGGATCTCTGCTATAAAACTCCCCACAGAAGCTGACCTTCAATATAACAAAAGGTCTGAATTTCATAAACTGTGAGTATCATTAAATGAATATTTAGAAACATCTAATGTCTCTTTTAAAGTGTTTCATATATACAGGTATGTGTGTATGCATTCACACATAAACTCTGTATTCATGTACTATATATGTAAACATGCAAACTGCCTTATAAGTACAGTATTTTGTTACTCATCAAGAGTGTAAATATACAGTATGATGCACATTTAACCAAACATACACATGTATGTTTCATGCGATTTAAAGGAAAAAGTACATGATGGTAATTGTAAATAATTTTGTGTTCCTTTTTTGCATTTTTTTCAGTTTTCCTCAGTTAAACACATTTCATGTTGTCTTTGTTTTTTTTGCTTTTAAAGATGTATATACCTGGGAAGATGTATAGAATTCATATTTATATATTTTAGCTGGGTGGAAAATTGTCATCCACTGTATCAGTATTATTCAAAAATACAGCATGAGTTTTGTTGAGTCCTGAAAAATAATAAACAGTTTTGAAGATTAAATTTTGATTGTCTTTTTTCATTTTGTTTCACATTCTTCACATTATAAAGCATGCCCAAAAGCAATTTAAATCAGAAATGTGAAGATTATTAATTAATAAGAATATTAATATCTGTTCTATACTTAATATTTTAAAAGACAGCAACACTAAAATGTTATAAGATGGTTTTAAATGGTATTTGGATGGAAATGTTAATAGACTAAATCTAAAATGATTATTATTAATTAACGCAATGTTCTCAACCTGAAAACTAGGATGTGCATCGTATACAACATAATACAAAATGTGTTACAGAACTATGATGTATCATTTTCCAGCCAAATTTCATTTCAAATGCTAATCATGTTAAACAAAATACTACAATGTTTTACACTGCAGTGCTGTAGTATAAGAGCAATCCCAAATAAGTGCAGGATCAATCCTGACTTTTAATCCTCCCAGCAAATCGGTCTACAAGTATAAGGTTTGGTGACATAGCAAAAGTGATTAAAACATTGAATTATCAATTAATGTAGGGGAAAATATTTGTGTTGGTAAAAAGTTTCTTTCAGATATACTTCCACACATTTGCTTAATTAGAAGAAATACAATTCTTACATGAGTGGCATTGTGGTGCTGCTGTCTCACAGTTCCTGGGTTCAGGTCCAGGGTGGGACACCTTTGTGTGAGTCTTGCATGCTCTCCCAAGATTCACATGGGTTGTACTCCAAAGTGGATGGATTCTCATTTTTAATCTCAATGCAGTTTAATACAGCCTTGTCTTATTAATTATTGCAAGATTAGCCACACATAGTAGAAAATCACACAGGAGAGTCCGTACATTGAAAGTGGCTGTAAGATGCTGAAATTATGGTTCACTGTAGGCTACTGCAATTTAAAAAAAACATATTATCTGTTTAATACAAAAACCCTGATGAGAGGAATGAAGTGCTTAGATTATAGGTTTCCTTACCACAGTTATACGATCTGGGGGTGAAAAAGAACAGAGCTACTATAATCTTGTATTTGTCATTGACACTCAACCACATTTACCAGCTGAGAGTTTCTTCATCAATGATCAAAATATAGTGTGTCCACTATGCATATTCAGGAGTCACTTCACTCATCAGGTTACCTACAATACTTGCCAGTAAGTATTCTAACTAAATTTTCTGCAAAATGTTATATACTATACGTATTATAATATAAACCAAAAGTAAAAACAAGCAATCTGTAAATTTGAACAAATGCATTACTAAGATGCACTTTTGTTACAGTTACAGTACTGAAAACACCAGAGCATCTATTCCGGTATCATGACTAGACTATCCTCTTGTGGCAGAATGGTGCAATGCAGCTTTGCTTTCATAATTATCCTTTTCTTACCCCTTTTCCCGGTAAAGTTTTGTTGGGGAGCCAAAGCCTATCCCAGCAAGCAACAGATGAAAGGTGAGATACTCCCTAGATGGGACACCAGTCCACTGCAGGGTACACAGAAACACAAACTCCCACACTTGCCCAAGGATCAGTTTTCCAAGGAACAATTAACCTAACAATTTTAGAACTATGGAAGGAACCTGGAGCACCCAGAGGAAACCCACCCAAACATGGGAGGACTATACACATAAATAGCAGCTCTGCTATACACATAAATAGCAGCTCTGTGAGGCAGCAATGCTATCCACTACGCCACTGTGCTGCCCTTGCATTAAGATATTCATCCTAATTCTCTAGTTTTCCACTACACCCTGCTAAGATCAAAGTTTCAAGAGTTATAAATCACCATGAAATGTCATGTCATTTGCCAAACCGCTTTATATTGTACGGTGTCACGGGAAGTTGGAGCCTACCAGCAAGCAACGAGACCAGGCACCACTCCATCGTAGGGTAAGTGCAAGCCAATCATACATGGGGACAATTTGGAGGCCACAGTAAAGGCCGAGGGGGGAAATTTGGCCCGGACACCAAGATAACTCCATACTTTTATTGAGAAATGCTCGGGGATCTTTAATGACCACTGAGAGTCAGGACCTCGGTTTAACGTCTCATCTGAAAGATGGCGCCCACTACAGTATAGTGTCCCCGCCACTATACCAGGGCATTAGGACCCACACACAGCCACAGCTGCAGGTCCCACTAACACCACTTCTAGCAGCAACCATAGCTTCCCAGGAGATCTCCTATCCCAGTACTGACCAGGCTCAACCCTGCTTTGCTTTAGTGGGCTGCCAGTTAAGAGCTGCAGGGTGATGTGGCTGAACATGAAATTAATAACTGAAATATGTCACTGCATTATCTAAAAGATGCAAAAGCTTGAAGACTACATGTAACATTTGCTTCTAAGCTGTAATTTAATATCCACCTCGTTAGTTCACAATAGTCAAATACAAATTCAAAACATCAGTACCAGTTTATAAATCAAGTGTTATACTTTGCCCTGAAACTTAGCTACATAAAAATGTAAATATTCACATACTTGAACAAATATAAAAAAGCAAAAACCTTTAAGGAGATAACATTTTGAATGTTTCATAAAGTACATTTTTGTTCTTTGTAATTACCTGTTGCATCTGTAACAGCTGTTTATCTACTTAAAAGAAAAGCCTCAGCAGAAACAGAAAGATGGAAAATGTGTTTATTTTGAAGCGTACAGTAACTTTTTAAAGCAACAGAAAAAAACAATAAATGATGATGCACTACTTAAGAATAATATTGGTAGAGATACCCGTAATGTTGTGCAAATCTAATTTAATGATACTGGCTATAATACCCATTGTTTTTCCTAGCAAAATTATCATTTTCCATGGTTAATACTGATTGGCAATAAAACACCAGTAGGATAAAAAAGATTATGATTAAGAAAAACAGCATGCCTCCTAGATATTTTTTCTTTATATTCTTTTTGTTTTCATCCCTTTCATTCAGATTCTTTCCACAGAGTGACTGCTGGACAATGTTGAGTTCAGTCTCACCGACACTGTTTGAATACTGGATGCTCTGGCTAGGCTCTCCACTGTGAATTCTAATGGGGGTGTTCCAACATTCTTCATGGTGATGGGCATTCTCTCCAGTTAAATATTCACAATCTTTATAGAAATGCTGAAATTCAGAATATGCAGGCGCAACAGAATTACTACTCTCTAATAGTGCAGAGCCTGTGCGATCAGGAAACTGGGGTCTATATTTTAATGGAGTTGGTGACTGCTTTCTCCATTTCTCTGGGATCTCTTCCGGATATGTCCTTTGAGAATTGGGGTAGAATTCATTGTTTTGCACCAGATTGTCTAGAAAGAAGATGGAAAGATTTGACATGGAATGAGTGGAAGAAACTTTGAATCTCTTTGAATACAGATAATGAATTATAATGGGTGTTAACTGATGCATGTATCTTTTAATACTGAACTTAAGCATGCACCTCTTATACTTACAGGTTTATCAATTGATCTACTCTATTTGTCTGAATGCCTGAACTATATACTGTATATTAAATTAATAACTACTGTATAATATAATTACATGACTAATTAGTAAGTAATGACTGTTTAAGGGTCAGAAATGATGATTACACTGGGATTGACCAAACCTTAATGTGAGTTTTTATACAGTAGCTACAAGAGCTAAGTAACTGTGAGACAGATGATAAATCTTGCTTGCAGTAAGGTTTACAAACCCTAACCCCTGTGTAAGGAGATAATCAGACTATCAGCTTTAAATAGACATTGTAATTTGTAAAAATGTATGCTTATTCATTAAGTTCATTAATAGGATAAAGTCATTTAGATCATTGTGTTTACCATGTTGGTAGTAATTGATACAAATATCAATATTTAGATTGGTGATTAAGTAATGAACCTAAAATAATAGGACTGTGTAAATAATAGTCAAACATTTAGAAGATAGCAATATTCAATCTCTTGAACTTCTCTGTTAATGGTGCATCTTAGTTCTGGGATTTTTCTTCATTGGCTTTTATAAAGAGAAGTTATTAACTGAAGGGGAGGAGGGATAACACTTCAATCTCTCACAGCTGTATTTAATCACCATCATTACAAAATGAGCTATATACGGTATATCAAACACAAACTCCCTTCACATTTGTCCTAAGCATCCTTAATAAGGATGACTGGCAGCCACCCCATTTCATCTCTTCCTCATCCTGTGGCCACCAAGTGGGTTAAGCCAAACCTAGCCCAAGAAATATTCCAAGCATTCACAAAGCAGTCCTTTCATGTTGTCATCCCTAGGGAATCTTTCCTGATAATGTACTTTTAATGTAGTGAGCTTAGGTGTACACAATGTTTTAATGGAGCAATTAAAACAGGATTTTGAGAATCTGTATTGTCTTCCTTGATTTTAACGTATCCAAATGACATAGTATACTATTAAAATATTTGAGAGTTTATTGCCATCTCAGATTGCAATCATGGCACCTTCAAACAGGACTTTAATGTAACAATCGACTCAATCTGTTCCAAAATGATAAAACCAAAAACTAATGATCGTATAAGGACAGCGGTTATTGCAGTTAAAGGTGTTTAGGGTTGTTTGGATGAGAATTGCCTTGATGGGTCAATGACATCTTAGCTATGATTGCATTGGAGGCTCCAAAGATCATTGGAGCCTCCTTCCCTTCCATTTCTGTCACCTATCACAACCGCTGCTTAAACAGGGCCTCCAGTATAGTAGATGACCCCTCCCACCCCTCCCATAAACTCTTTGCCCTCCTACCATCTGGGAAAAGATATCGCACCAGGGCTAGCTCCACCAGGCTCTGTAACAGCTTCTTCCCACAGGCTGTCAGGCTCCTCAACATCCTGGAATCTACTCGCACCCACTCCAATTCCAGAAACAGGGTTTAAATCCTCCCAGTGTGTTGTGTATATTGTATTATGTATTGCTTTGTAATTTGCACTTTGCACTATGTGTATCCTGTCTATAATGTCTGTCAGTGTCCTGTCCATCCTGTCTGTACTTGCACCGTGGACCAGGAGGAACGATATTTCGTTCCACTGTATACTTGTATATGGCTGAAATGACAAATAAACGTGACCTTCAACTTGAACTTGATTTCCTGCCCTGATCAATGTCACTCTTAACATACAGTAAGCACCATTCATTGCCACACCATTCAGGGATAATGTGTGGGGCTGCAAGCAAGTTTGACTGGACCCGTGATTGAAAGGGGGCCTGACAGCCCGGGATAGCCCGGGATAGTTGACAGCCCCTGCACAAAGCTCCTGCTCATGGGGGAGAGTCAGGAGCCTTTGTCAAGAAGGCTTAAAAGACCCCAGTGAAGACTGAACTGGGATGTTTGGAAAAAGGAGCTCTTGCGGGACAGACTGCAGCAGTTTGGACCCAGGAGAGGATGCTTCTTGGCTTTTTGGTAAAGATCAGATGTAGTTGTACACAGGAGAGGACACACACAGCACAGTCTCCCAGAGTCTGGGAGCAGTGGAGGAAGACCCCATTATCGTGTTTCTCCCCCCTCTATCCCAAACTGGACTCTGGTACAAACAGGGTAGAGGGAGGGAACACTGGAGACACATTGTTTGGGACAGCCAGGACCAGAGAAGATACCTAAGGAAGTTCAGGACCTCGGTTTAACGTCTCATCTGAAAGATGGCGCCCACTACAGTATAGTGTCCCCGCCACTATACCAGGGCATTAGGACCCACACACAGCCACAGCTGCAGGTCCCACTAACACCACTTCTAGCAGCAACCATAGCTTCCCAGGAGATCTCCTAGATGGACAGAACTGAAGGACTAAATAATTTTGGGACATTTGTTGAGGGTCCAATGGGGTACTTGCAGCCAGTCTGAAATGGATGTGTTTTAGAGTTGGTTTTGTATTATAATGAACTACAGTACACTACAGTAATTCTGGGAGATGAACAGATCCTGTGGCAAATAAGGGGTCTAGCACCCTTTATAATTCCTAGGTGGCGTTGTTGTGTACAAAGCAGGAATAATTCTTGTTTGAAGGGACAACTACTGACTTAGGGGAGCTGAATAATTATAAGAAGTAAATTGTATATATTATCTTTGCAGAAGTTTCTGCCACTCAACCTCCTTTTCTATATTATTAGTATATATATATTTTTTTAAGTGCTGAGTTTGATCGTTACAGTTATAATTAAAGCCACTTCATTTGAATACGTACACCTTACTTTTAATTCATCAAAGTATGACAATATTGGCATGAGGTGAATACTTTCAAAAAGAACTACATATACTGTACATACTGTAATTTCTGATAAATGGTTACTGTTCCATTGCATGGCCTTAAGTGCAGAGTTAATATAAACACCTAGGCTATTTTCATTGCATGTCTGCTTCACTTTAGCAATAATTATATTCCTGTGATATGGAGTTTTGTTTCCCATATGCAGTATTTTGCACTTACACTCACCTAGGTAGTCATTATTTAACCACTTTTTCTCCATGTTGTCCGAAACCTTTCTTCTCAAATTGTAACTCGTTCTTCTGCGTGGTCTCAAGATACGATCGGGCAGTGTATCTTTTAAAAAAAAAATTAAAGTCAAGTGTTATGTTGTCTGGGTAAAGCTCTTACAGATTTTATGGTCATGTAATAAACTGAAAGACTAAAGGGAATAAAAGGAGAACATCACAAGGTTCATTCCGTAAAACTTTTGTTCTTTCCAACTATATTGTACCTTGTTTAAAGTCAGCAAGATTATTTTTGCCAGTCTTCAGAATTTTGGATCCTCTGTGTTCCTGACATTGGCTTTCTCCCTCATGCTTAAGAACTTTCAAAACCTGTTGTTGAAAATCTTCAAAAGTTTCAACTGTATCATCACAGACGTGACTGGAAGCACAAGAACCCTCTTTGCACTGAGCAGCATGAGAAACACTGCATTCTGGAACTTCACCGAGTTTCTTGCAAGCCTAAGCGTATGAAAATATTTTATTCAAATACATATTGTGCACACTATTGCATGTTAATACAGTAAAGTATCTTACATATTCCTTTTGAGAAACTGCTGAATGTTTTCTTCTTTGCTTTGTGTTAATGGCAGGAAATCAGAGCAAATTGCAATTGTCGAACTCTGACCAACAAGACTGGCTTCTTTGCATTTCCCAAGATTTTGCTCAACTAATATATAATTAACTAATGATATAATATCCTCATCAATGCATTTAACTTTAAGTGTTTAATGCATTTAAGTTAAATGTCTTTAATTTCTACAATTATATTCCTGTGTATTTATTACGTGTATTTAACCGTACAGCTGAGAAGGTCATATAAGGGGTAGGTGAATATTGGAAAAAAAAAATTCTCTCCATGCGAGGATATCGTCAATCTCTGCATAAAACATAAGAAGTCTAAAAACTAATTTAACATATACTGTTATACAAAATACAATGGAAGATAAAACAAATAAAAAATTATTAGTACACAAACCACACAACATTTGTGATGCTATGCGTATAAACTATTACCTGAATGGCAGTCCCTGTTCTAGAGGAAGCTATCCTGGTAACTGGCCTTTTAACAGGTGCCTTACAGATTTTCTTTGCTATACAAGAAGAAGAAAAAAAAATAACTGCAAAGCAATTCTGCTTTTTTCTAAGGATTGACTTATTTGAATCAGTATTCATTGCTTTCTACAGGAGCATTACCCAGTCTATTTTTTTTCCACTTAAAATAGAGAAAGAAAAATGATGCATTTTCCCCAATACATCCTCGATAAAGCCCTCTGCTGGCTCAATGAGATTACAGTTTTCAGAATAGGTCTGTTTTTTAGATCCCACCGATATACAACTTCAAGTAGGCATGGAGAAATTATAAATGAATTCTGATGCAATTTGAATATTTTCAAAAACTGTCACCCTTTTTGGGGACAGGCAAAACTGTAGGTAAAAAAAACTAATCTTATTCTCGAGTTTTCAAGGTTTGAGGAAGAAATTATAAAATATAAGTTTGTAATTGTTCGAATTGTTCGTTGTTTCTCTATAATTCAGTATTCCTGGTCTATCATTCCACTAAAAAGAACAGACATTCTTTGGCCTTACACTTTTATTTTGTAAAATAGGATATTTACGAGAAACAGAATGTTTGGTTTTAAGACTTGAATGAGGGATCATAATCTTTGAGCTGCTTTTCTTTCTGTTCAATTATACTCTACAGGCATTCCATTTTGTCATTGGTTTTAGTCTGTCCCCATGTTCTTTCTTACCAGGTTTGCCATCATGTGTGTCCCGAGTCCAGCCGGACAAGCTGACAGTGGAATGCCTTCTCTGAGTGCGACAATGAGTGACAGACAGTCTAGGGGAACTCAGCCCTGTCACGTTGTGGCAATTAAAAAAAAACATGGATTATTGCAAACTATTCTTGTGACCACTGTAAAAAACAAAACTAAAATTAAACAAGCATTAACCTCAAATTAATCGAGTTTTCAGACTGCTATAATACACACTGATATAATTCACGTGCTGAAAGTAAGCTGTGGCTTTAAATTAAATTAAAAAATAACTAACCATACCATTGATTATGAATTACAGGTATACAACAGTCTAAATCTTTTAGCAATAGCAGGCTGATGTACAGTACATTACTACATTTCTGTGTATTGTTACTGTGTATAGAGTTACTTGGGAATTGTAAAATCAAGAATAATAAAAATTCCAAAATAATTCAACACAAGATAAATGACAATATTTGTACTGAAAATACTGTACAACAGCACTTTACAACCGTAAAGACTTTTCTGAATTATAATCAAACAGATTTCAGCAATGTTAAGATAAAGAAAATTACCTGTTGTAGTCGAGTCAAGACGCGGTTTCGCCTTGGGACGCACTTTCTCGGTTTTTGACAGTGTTTCCCCTACTTTATTGGGAATTTGAACTTTAAGGTTGTCGTAGTTTTCCTAAAACCACACGATTAATAAGTACTTTGCATATTTAAAAATTAAAAATCCCCTTTAAAAACAGAGAGGTTTCAGACACAATAGACAATACAACACAACTGTATTTAAAAATGCGAATTATGATCAAATCGACGACCACTATACAGTACCTTTGCGGATTTCATTTCTTGGCAGTTAACTTCAGAGTCACCCTTCAGGGCTATCTTCCAAGTGCAGCAGCCCCTACACTGAATTGAACAGACAAGCACGTCATTTTTGTAAAATGCGCTCATTAAAAAATCGCGTTTTTTAAGACAACAATTGCTAGATTACCTAAAACCATATATAATATAAAATATTATATAATAAACTTTGATTTATTGCTTTAAATTTATTTTATTTCAAGTTCAAATGTAAATTACTACCAGTAATAAGAATTACGTTCTTCAGAGGCCTATATTTTTCCTCGGTTCCGTTCGCATCCACGGTATTGCATTCCGCTTAAAAAAGTTATTTAAACAACCTGTTTTTTTTGTAAAGTCGAAAATTACAAACAGCCATGAAATCAATCACCTCTCCTCGAGCACACCGCTTGCTTTTGAAAATAAACAGCCTGTGTGTGCCGCGAGGAGCGGGTAAAATGGCATCACTGGGACTGTTCGTGAAGTGGAGAAAGAAATCTAAACTGATTTCAACACTGCGTTGAAATTCCTACAGTTAAACAATCATCAGACCTCCACTGGACTGCGCTGGCCTACCCATTCTAGCAATGCAGACAATTTGATAATGTCACCCAATGTAGCAGGGGTGGGGAACCTTTTTTCTGCCAAGGGCCATTTGGATATTTCTAACATCATTCGCGGGCCATACAAAATTATCGATTTAAAAATTAGCCTGCTATATTTGGTCAAACATTTAATTAACTCACCCCCAATGCGATGGCTGGAACTGCTTCTCTTTGGTGAGGCGTGTGATGTTAGCTGGTATTGATGATGTTGCTACTCGCAAGTGCTTTTCCAGGTTTACGTCGGTCATTCTGGAGCGCAGTCAACTCTTGGCGATGGTAAGTTTTGGAAAATAACTGCTCGCAGCAGTAAGTTGTTCCGAACACAGATGCATATTTCAATGCATGTCTCCTCAAAGTGGGAAATTCATCATTGCTTATGTAACGTTTATAGAACTCAAGCAGTGGGAGGTTGTGGTACCTAGCTTTCAGCTCATCATCGCTTTGCACCTGAATGATTTCGTGTTGTAGGTCATCAGGCACATCAGCTGGTTCCACATTGAACAGTGTAGCAAAGATGTTCAATTCCATTTGTTTACTTTTCACATCATGAATCTTTCATTAAATGCCTCAATTAGTTTCGCACATTCACCAGCATATTCAAGTGTCGTAGAAGGCTTTTGTCCTTCCCTTTCGATTGGCTTTTTTCATTACTGCTTACGCATCGCCACAAACTAGGCACACAGGTTTGCCTTTTACTTCCACAAAAAAATAATTTGTCCATTTCTCTTGGAAAGATCGACACTCTGCATCAACTTTTCTTTTCTTTGTAGTCGCCATTTGTAGGATGTCACACCACTTAAGTTTTAATAACTATCCAGTGTGTGTGTCGCCAGCGACGCGATTATTTTGCTTTGATCGCTGTTCTAATCCTGCATCTTGGATTTGGAACATATCCAACATTTGTATCATCGACTCTTAAGGTCTTTTCTGTGTACTGTAATTTCCTTAATCTTCATCTGAGATTCAGTTTTTGCGAGGATTGTTGATCGTGGACGTGTGGATAAAAGTTGGATTGGAGTTATCGTCTGTGTCGACAAAGAAGTCGACAACATCGTCGTCAATCAGCGGAGGCAAGGTCATCAACGTCGCGAGGAATCATCTCATTGCATCTCGTCTCATCATCACCGGATCGCCATAGTTTCGCCACAGTGTGTTAACACTTTCGCAACGTGTACACTCCCAGCCTGCCTGGCACTGACCGTCCTCTGAGTCACCGCAATACAGGCAGACGGGCTGCGGGCAGCCGACGAGAAGCATGCGTGTCTGTCCCGTCATGTACTCATATGTGTCCTGTCTATCCCGTAATGGACGTTCCTTGCTTGTCCCTCAAAATGTACGTTATTATTATGATTCACTTAATATAAATTTACATTACTATGAAAAAAGCTCCTAGATTTATTGAATTTCGAGTCCCCCGTGCTGTTGCCTTGGCAGGGCCAGACCAAATGATAAGGCCCGTGGGCCGGATGTCCCCCACCCCTGCAATATAGCAAAGAATTACAGAATTATAAAGCACCCCATTCCTTGATAATTATATAAATCTGAATGCTAAAACATATTTTAAGACATGTTTTATAATATGCATGTACCATGGGTGAAAGAATCTCTCCAATCATTTCTCTTTGGTGTATTGTTTGTAACAAATCTTGCATCTTGTTTGTGACCATGTATGTCACTGGAGCCGGTCCTGACTCCTGTTTAGTATTTAGGACCCTGTGCAGACAGTATAATCTGGTAGTGACTGGAAAAGGGCTACAGGAAAACATGGTTTGGAATGGAAGGGACGGCGAACAGGGGGAGGTGCCGATGGTGATCAGGTGCAATGGGGGAGCACAGGCAAACAAGTCCAAAAACATAGGAAATCTGGGAATCAGTCCAAAATCCAAAACCAGGTGATCCATTCAAGACAAGACAATTAAAAAAAAACAGGAGCAAGGACAAGGAAGTAGGAAATTAAAAATGGAGTGACGAGGCCAGGCACTCCAAGCCCTGGACTCAGCTGGTCAGGATGCTGTTCAGAAGCCTATGCCTTCAAGCCACGAATGTGGGGCGACTTGAAGCTAGGCGGGCCTCCAGGCATCCGTCTTCCAATGCAGAGCCCCGAGCTTTCGGAGCACCGAGTTTAAATAATACTAGTGAATTCAGGGACAGGTGTACATGATGATGAACGAAAAACACAGAAGAGTCGGAGTGCCCTCTAGATGAGGGATGACAATAGTGACAAAAAGATGCAGGTACTGTAGGTTAATTGACTTCTGGGAAAACTGGCCCTGGTTTGAGTGAGTGTGTTTGTATCTGTGTGTGCCCTGCGATTGACTGGCATCCTATCTAGGGATGTATCACACTTTGTGCCCATTGCTGGCCATGTTAGGCTCTTACCCTGCATTGAATAAAGCGGTTAGAAAATGGAAGGACAGAATCTCATGCTAATCTGTGAAGTTAATCATAAGAGTAGGTGTTATGTTATGACCATGACTGCTTATTTTAAATACATTCCCAAAAATCAAGTCACAATGATTTAATTACAGTACCATTACAAGGCTTAACGTCATCACTGATTAGGGGATCAGATTGAAAATGTTTGTATCATGTTATCTGGGCACAAAGATTAATGTTGGAGTATGTCTTCATATGTATATATGTTCATAAACGAAACTAATGTGTAGACTTACCAAGGGAGACTTATTTAGTACTTTAGTAATACTGTAATAGTACATTTTTATTTTTGAGGATAATTTGAACTTTTTGACTTCCATAAAAGCTTTGTGACAAATATTTGTGTTAAATATCAGCAACAACCTAATGGTACACATATTCTTACATATGGAAGGCAATGAATACCATAAAATAAATAAAATATTGCATAAATAAAGCCTTATAAAAAGTAGACCTTATATTTGGGATCAAGGGGAGAAACTGGTACTGTATAGAAGCAAAATCCAAAGAAAAACACATCAGAAATATGTCGTGCTGTTTGGAAAAATGGGTTCGTACCTCTGTGATATCAGAGTCTGGTCTTTATACAGAACAATTTTATAAATGTGATGTACTACATTGTACTTAGCCCAATTATTGTTGATTCTGAACTTATAAAAACGGTCAAATAACCCATACCTGAAAATGTTTGATATGGTTTTACGGTAACATTGCTACAACATTTCGTTTCAGTGCTCAGTGCCACTGCATACTGTAGCTATTATTTATCACACTAGCATCCAATAACACTGCACTATTGTTATGTAATATTAAGATTTTACTTAATCAATCACAAATAATAGTTTATTATAAATATCACATTGGTTTTCTAAAGGTTTTGGCGGAATTTATACTGTAGTTACTTTTTTATAGATCATATAATCATAACACTTGCATTATTTCCAACTACACTGCGCACAGTAGGTACAGTATACAGTACCAGATGTACAAAATCTACCCAACATACACGATATAATTACTGTTTACATCACTTTGGGGTACAAAAAAGCGACATCTTCTTTGTACAGTATGTTAATTTTTAAAAAAATATTCGTTTTAGTATAGCGTTTTAATGTTAGCACTTATTACGTAGATTACCTGTGAGGGAGGAATCGTACTTTGTCATATTTTCCCAATTTTGTTATTTCAGTACCACATCGTTGCTTTCTCTGATGTGTTTAATTTTGGATATTGTCCAGAAATCTGGGGGCTGTATCTCAGTCTGTAGTCGTTCTACAGTAAATCCAATATTATTGAAATGCAGAATAAATCGGTTAAATAAAGACAATCTGTAGGTTACTGTTTTCTGGACACACTAGACTACCAAAGTACCACAGAAATTTAAGCAGACATGATTTACTTGCCGGCTGAGCCCCTTTTAGTTCATAAAGGTACAAATCTGTATTTTTTAGAGGGGGGTGGGATGATGAAACGGATGAAAAAATACCCCTTTGCTTTCTAATGATACCTAACACATTTCAAATTGTACCGAAGGCTGTATTCAACTGAACCAATAAATGGTCTTTTTTTTTCTCACGGCTCTTAAGCGCATTATTAAACCAGACTGTTTCTATATCTAATCCCCCTAATTCTGCATTGGTTTTGACTCATTTATTCCTGCGTACACTGTGCCCCTTACCCTTACGCAGAATCGGAGTGGCTTATTGTACAGGCAATTTCTGGTTGACTAAATCACTCAAAATGAAATACGTTGTCTTGTGGGGTTGCCATGTAAGAAAGACCTGATGCACTTTTTTTTAACAAAACATCCCTTAGATGAATTTTGAGATTTCGTGCTACCTAGTATTTTTTAATTAGAATAGGTTCTATTTGTGTCATGTTTGCCCTGTGGATGCTGCTGCAACTGCTTCTTCTCCTGTACCCGAGCTGCCGGCGGGGCGTGATTTCTAGCCCCACCGATGATAGCGCAGCTCGGAGCGGCCGCGGAGACCACGGGGAGCCGGGCCACGAAGAAACGCACCAGGATTCCTACAGCACCTTTGCGTCCGAGTTTTTCGAGTCCAGATACTTGACGGATGAAGGTATTCGTTTTCTGTTGCTCAGCGAAGTACTCCTTTCATTCAAGAAATATTTGTCGAGCGCATTCATCGGTTTATTATGAGCAGAACAGTTTTGATGAATATATTAAGTATCATTAAGATGTTTTAATTAAGAGCCAGTGGGGTTCAATAAGGTCTACTTGTTTACCATAAATTATCTCTGTGCAAAAAAACGTCGCTTATTTGTTGTTGTTTTTTTGCAGTTGAAGCAGTGTTAATTTTAAATCAGAACCGCGGTTGGATAAGCTTCATCTTGTTCAAATCACGGCCTGCTCGGTAATTGTAGATTTATTGACAGTTATCACATTTACTTGAAGGAATACATATACAGAACATAAGGTCTAGCATGAGACATTTATACTTGAACTGCCCACTGCTGATTTATCAGCACCCTGGTCAGCAACTCGCATAGCTTTCTACTCTCCATAGCCAATTGTGAGCTCTGCGAAGTTGGCCTCCCCAGAAACAGCATTATTAGTCTAGTATCTCCTTTCTATTGCTCTTCAGCAGATATATTAATGTATTAATGCAGGTGTACTTAGTTTACAAATTGCGTTTCGTTTCGGTCTAACGGTACAAAGCCAAGGTACAGTAACACAACCCGTGCCTCTTTGATTTGCTATTGTTCTTTTAGGTTATAAAAATATGAAGGTGTTCATAGGACTTCTTATCCACATCCTGCGTGTTATATACTATACATATACACTATGTAAATAAAAAATATCTTGGGGTATAAATAGTATGGGATGTTTGTTTCTATCAAATAGAATAAGTTGAAAAACATAACACCTTCTATACTTGTATGATTTCATAAATACAACTGCAGTAATAATTTTATCTTTTCAATTGTGCTCTGTATTATAAACGTTAGTATTATGCATAATATCATGTTACTACAGTCCTGAAATAAGCAGGGAAACACAGCAATAGTAAATAGACATTTTGCCGTCATACTGAATTTGTGTAGTATTGTACTCCATTCTTATTAGATTTAAACAGATATGTTTTCATTCCAGATTAAACACTTTAAATATTTAATAATTACACTGTGATATGCTGAACAAGTACACATACATGTCTGCCATGTGAATCCTAGGTGTACAATAAAATAATTTTTAAAGATCCGTTTCTTCTTCTGTATCCCAGGGATAAGCCATACTAAATCTTTCCATTGTTTCTGTGAAACCATGTACTTTCTTTTGGTCTCTCTGTTTTTCTGGTGGCTGGTGACCCTGTAAGAAGAGCCTGTTTTTAAATTCTGTGCTCTAAACTCATTTGGACAGAGAATTCTCTCCAGATTGCATGGATGCAGGGGGTCGTGTTCCCAGAGGACTGCTGATCTGGCGGTCCAAGAGAGTGTGTTAAAAATTGTGGCACAGTGTAATGTATTTTTCTTTCCAGCTTTGTGGGATTAACTGTTTTTTGGGGGGATGAGAGAGATGAATGGTGTTACCAAAGGGTGTTTTTGTAAAAAACAAATCTGCATTACAGATTTCTGCAGGGGGCTGATGTAGGGGTATCACTGACAAAATCAGTTAATTTTTTGCTTTGTTTTGCAGTTGGACTCCATATTTTGTTAGTATATATGCTAATAGAAAACAAAAGTATACAGTAGATGTTACCAGAAATTGAAAAATATTCCACTTTTCAGCTCCCTGTGTCTGAGAGGAGCTTATTGATCCAAGAATCTCATCCAGTCCTTTTTCTGAAGGATCCTTCGGGAATCATCTTCAAATCACACATGCTTTAGTGGTAATGAGAAGCTTTATTCATTGTGAAAATAAGGCCTTGTCAGCATTGGTGTACACTTCCCACCAACACTCATCCATCCAATTCATTTTCTAACCACTTCATCCAATTCAGGGTTGGGGGGGAGCTGGAGCCTATCCCAGCACACAATGAGCACAAGAGAAGCTACACCCTGAATGGGATCCCAGTCCACCACGGGGTGCACACTCACACCAGGTTCAGGTTTCCCAGAACCTTCCCAGTCTTTGGACTGTGGGAGAAAACTGGTGCACCCAGAGGAAACCCACAAGCTCCACATAGATAGATAGATCCCAGGCGTTGAACTGAACCCAGGACTTCAGCACTGTAAGGCAGTTATGCTAACCACTGCACCACCATGCCACCTATAAATAATATTGATCATATTTGAATTAATTACTGTTAACTAGAATAAATGCCACTGTGGTGCTTGAAATGTTACGAGAGACTAAAACCATCTATCCACTTCAGAGTTCTGTTGTTTTCCTCTGGAATTGCTGAGGAAATTACTGTTTGTCTGTTGTAACAGATTTGCCTTTTTGTCAGTTTTCACTGAATCAGTTTCCATTTCCTCTCAAAGAACGTCTGTCTTGTTAAAGTGTTAATGTTCAAACATTTGGGAACACAGCGGCTGTTACAGAATAATGATATCCTTCAAGTTGATGCTTTTTGTTTTTGTAGGTTACCCCTTTCCTACTGCCCCACCAGTAGATCCATTTGCCAAAATCAAAGTGAGTGACTGTGGGATAACTAAAGGATGCTTCAGGTAGGACTTATAAGCTTTTAATTGACCTTTTCCATTTGATAACGTTTGTGCAAGTGAAATATATTTGTATGCATTCTGTTGGAATTACACGTGCTAGTTTTCAAATGCAATCTTTATATAATCTTGTACAAAAAACTCAGAAAGTAATATAAGGCAAAATCTCTGTAGATTTAAAACCATTTACTGTATATAACATCACTTTATTAACCCTTTACAATTCCTTGTATTAGGAATTTGTTTTCTCACATACCCCAGCTTGCTCTCCATGAGACGCACAGACAGGGAGAGAGCCTGGGGTCAGAGCACAGGGTCTGCCATTGTACGGAGCCCCTGGAGCAGTTGGGGTTAAGGGTCTTGCTCAGGGGCCCAACAAAGTAAGATTCCTCTCCCAGCTACAGGATTTGAACCAGTAACCTTCCAGCCACAGGTGTAGATCCTTAGCTACAGAGCCACTAGTCAGACAAGCAGGATTGTAGTAGAAGTATTGCATATTGTTACAAACAGGGGTTTTACTAAAGTAGTGAATAGCAGAAAGTAACCAAGCAGATTAATTGATAATTAAATTAAATAATTTTAATCCCCAATTTATTTTTGGGGGATTTTGACATGATTTTGTCAAAAATGTATCCAAGCAGGTGCTATAATCGGAGGCACCTGAGTTTATTGTTCTCTAGCTTAGCTTTGCTGACAGGAGTAATAATTCAGGCACACTGGGTTAAACAACTACTTATTAATACTGACAAAACAAACATTGATTAATACTGACAATACACACACTAAACAACACACAACATAAACATAACAATACACAGGTTATACTACGGTATGTACACATTTGTTAACAAGGAGTTTCAAAGGCCTATGTCCTAACCGCCCAGAAGAAACAGAAAAACTCTTACAAAGTATTCAACTCTTATATAACGCCTACAAAGGATCAAGATCAAGCTACCCTCTAAGCTAAACAAAACACGACCTACAGTTAACCTACAGTTAAATCTCTCTCTGTATACCTGGATGCTACAAAACAAATAGGAACCTATCCCCTTATTCTGAACCTATCCCCTTATTCTAAAAATCAGCTAATCAGGGGAGGCTGTTTTTAACTGAGAAATAAATTAAAGTTTAGTAAAAAACAACAGAATGCAAAGCTTTATTAACAAGGTTCAAATACTGAACTCAATCTATTTTTCTGGATGATCGGGACAGGGAGCTCTTGTAATCCGTCTTTCTGTCCCATATCATTCCACCTGTCTCTTACTGTTGGCCCTCTCCCTGCTTCTCTGTGCCTGCTTGTATTATGAAGTGTTCCTTGACTGTTGATGACAGTTATTCATTTACCACTAACTTAATTAAGGTAATCCAAAGACAGTTTTACAATTGCTTAGAACATGGAACTGGAAATGTTAATAATTATAATAATAATTGCTCACACTTATGTAGCGCTTTTCTGGACACTCCACTCAAAGCGCTTTACAGGTAATGGGGACTCCCCTCCACCACCACCAATGTGCAGCCCCACCTGGATGATGCGACAGCAGCCATAGTGCACCAGAACCCTCACCACACATCAGCTATTAGTGGGGAGGAGAGCAGAGTAATGAAGCCAATTCATAGATGGGGATTATTAGGAGGCCATGATTGGTAAGGGCCAATGGGAACTTTTTTTGGCCAGGAAGCCAGGGTTACACCCCTACTCTTTTCGAGAAATGCCCTGGGATTTTTAATGACCACAGAAAGTCAGGACCTCAGTTTTACGTGTCATCCGAAGGACGGCACCCATTTACAGTATAGTGTCCCTGTCACTATACTGGGGCATTAGGACCCACATGGTCTGCAGGGAGAGTGCCCCCTGCTGGCCCCGCTAACACCTCTTCCAAATGTTGAGACTCGGTAGGTGTTACCTGTTGTATTTAGATTCTGAAAGACATTTTAACAGTCACAAGAGTTGTAACAGTATGTTCATGGAATGTTTTCTAATATATACTTATGTCATATGAAGGAATAATGTACACAAAATAAGCACTCCAAGAATGACTGAAACTTGTGATGCCTGTAATAATTTGTGAGACTCTTAAATTGTGACATGATAATTGTGACCATTATTTTTTGACATGATTTTACACAACTTGTTACGTTTTCAGAAGAAAACCATGACTTTAAATACTTTTCTAATAGGAACGGCTCTTTTTTTTCATGCAGCCTTTCTATATTGCTAAAGTAAGAAAAGCTTGCAGGAGAAAAGGTGCTAAATGTTACATGGTTCTTTTGCGGTGATAAAAAGGAGAAGTATTTATCTCCATTCACATTCACTAGCAGCAGCACAGGAATTCCCTTTACTCAATAAAACTGAAAAAAAGAGAAAATTACTGGTGTTTTCCCCTCTTCAAAGTGTTACTACTGGGAAAAACCAGTGTGCATTGCCCTGTGTGGCATTGTTGTGAATCCTGGGACCATGGTGGGACAAAATAGTAAAATTCTGGGACCTAAATCATTATCATAATCGCTCTTGTTGTTTTACTCTAAAGGTATGGCAAACCAGGTTGCGATGCAGAGACGTGTGATTACTTCCTCAGCTACCGCAGAATTGGAGCAGACGTGGAATTTGAGCTGAGTGCTGACACTGATGGCTGGGTAGCAGTGGGATTTTCGTCAGACAAGAAGATGGTAAGCATCTAAAAACTTGGATGAGCATGCTTTTCTGTGATGGGTGTCTTCATTAAAAAGCTATTGGCACACCCTAGCTAAAAAAACAAGCCGAGCTGCAGCAGTTTCGAGGCTTGCATCGCAAGGAGTGGCATGCTGTTTCTCCTGCAGGGTGGGGATGATGTCATGGCCTGCGTCCATGACGACAACGGGCGGGTTCGCATCCACCACTTCTACAACGTGGGCCAGTGGGCCAAGGAGATCAAGAGGAACCCAGCGCGGGATGAGGAGGGCATCTTTGAGAACAACAGGGTGACGTGCCGCTTCAAGAGGCCAGTTTACGTCCCTCGTGAGGAGACTCTCGTTGACCTGCACCTGAGCTGGTACTATCTGTTTGCCTGGGGCCCAGCGATTCAAGGTGAGCTGGGGGCTTTCCTCCATCTGTTCCCCCACTGCTCAGTACAGGCTCAGCATGCACTCAGCACACAGGGACTTCACAGAGGCGTAGAGTCATGTCCTCAGACCCTCCACACACATCCACCTCCCTAATAACCCTTCCGAATTTCGTTTTCAAGAAACCGTCTCATTTGAGGATTTGGGATTTGCGTTCCAGTGATTTCGCATTTGCTCTATGTCACCCCCCTTCCTTTTGCCCCCTTTCTCCTGACGCAGGGTCCATCACGAGGCACGACATTGACTCTCCGCCCGTGTCGGATCACATGATCAGCATTTACAACTACGAGGACGTCTTCATGCCCTCGGCTGCGTACCAGACGTTCTCCTCCCCCTTCTGTCTGCTGCTCATCGTTGCGCTCACGTTCTATCTGCTGATGGGGACGCCGTAGCCTGGCCGCTACGAAAGTGGAGGGGCCAAGCAATAATACGCAGGACTGAGAACAACTGTGCGCCACTGCCCAGGGGTGGCTCTGGAAAGGCGCCATGTAATAATAAGCTGGAGAAGAAGAAGGGCACTGATTAGGAAGCAAATGATTGTAGTTTCACCATCATCTAACCAAACCATTAACTGATAATGCACAATGAACTCTTCGTTCTCTGGGCCATTCTCTGAGGCAGGCGATACGTTTACATTGGTGTTGGATTTAGTGACCTTGGCCTTACTTCACGGTCTGCTCCAGCACTGGCTTTTGTATTTATTATTTATATTGATGCTGTGATTGCCAGTTCCATCCTTTTCATGTTTCTCCTTTGTTCTACGATGGGTCCAGACAGGATGCGACCGCAGCTGAGAAAATCTGATGAACGACAGCAGTGAATCTGGGTGGTTTCAGCAGGTACAGGAACGTGGTGTGAAACCGTTTTCAGCCTTGCTCATATTTGTAATCTGTTTTGTTTTTTTCTGTGCACGCTCTTTGCACTATTTCTGACGATAAACTAGTCTATAAACCTGTGCAGAGTCAATTGGTTGGTTTCTAATTGGTTCATTTGTGATATCTGTGCCCACATTCACAGGCACAAATGGTCCTTGGTTTCATGTTGTTATGACAAATCTACTCTAGCATTATATATTACCACAGAGTAAACTGCCAAAGGCGTGGGATGAAGGACAGCCAGAATAACATTCCATTTCAAGATTTAGAAATCCAACATTTAAAAAGAAATATATATATATATTACCATGGCTTCACTGTTCAGTTCATTGTTGACCTTCGTTGATGGGCTGGATCCTGAGAAGAGTCTCAGTTCTGATGTTGGAAGATATAAGGAGCATGCAAAGCGTTTGATGTTATTATGACCGCTGCTGCTCTCTATCCAGGCCTAAACAACCCAGGGGGCTGCCTTAAGTCCCCGACCTGACCTGCAGGGACACTGAACACCCTGAACAAGCAGCTGACAAGATGAATGGTTAACGTTCTAAAAAACCTTTGATGGCTAAAATATTTGCAAACCATATTAGAAAAATTATTTTTTAGCATTTCATGTTACCCCGTCATTGTCCCCATGCCTGCTTTGCAAATTACTTTCCTTTAACAAATAACAGAAAAATGAGATGCAGAATGTATCGGGAATACTTAAATATTGAATATAAGGTCAAATAACTACTTTTTACTTTAATAAATAACTTATTATACTGTACCTTTATCATACTTCACATGAATAGTAGCTTCCTTGTGGCGTCTGTATATACAGCAAAGCTGATGAACGACTCCTTACATGTGTTGTTTTAAAGGGAAAATAGAAGTTATTTACAATGTTTATCTTGCCCATCATGGTTCTCTTGAATATGCCTCTCTAGTCAGTGAACTAAGGTGCATTGTCAGACCATTGGTCTTCAGGAATATTGCACTTTTGTCATAACTATACAATCTAGGATCCATAAGAAAAATAACATGGTAATGTTGAGATAGCAGTGAGCATGTCATTAGGGTTAATAACGCCCATCATTAAGGTTTTTACTGAGTGACAAGACAGGGTTGTGTTGTCTTCCTGACAAAATATTCATTTTATCTGCTTTATTTACTGCATTTGTATGCCAGTTGATTTGCTGAAAATCAAGTCAAACGAAAAGATTAGTTTTGCATAATAAAATTCCTTGTACGTTGCTGGTAATGGTACCAAGCATGGGTACAGCTGTTGCAGAATTGAAGAATTCTGTCTTAAAAAGATAATCAGTTCACTGTCTCCCCTTTATATTCTGTAACATAGAAAGTGAATTTTTGTGATTTTTTTTATCAGTTCAGGAATATGAATCAGAACATTCTGTCCGTTGAAACAGTCTATAGTAGAGTTGGATTCAGAAAAGTAATTGCTTGACAGGAAGGAAGCTTACTTGGCTCTTACAGTATGTGTAGACTATTGATCTGATAATTAAGATTTGTACTGTATTACTGAATCACGTGTGCCATCTATTTTTCCTTTTGGGTGAAACTTAAATAGGTTTTGCTGTCCCATTATTGAGATATATGTACAGTTACAGTATATCTTGAGTCCGAATGTGCCTGGAGAGTATGGGAGAGATTATATATGTGCGTATTAGTTTCTCTGTGAATTAAGTATTAAAAACAAAAGGTTATGCAATACTGCTTTCAGACAGAGCTCAAATACGTAAAACCTTGAAGTGTAAAAGTACATTGAGGAGAGTCAGAAAATAATGGGATATCAAATAATTCTAGGAAATTGCAGTACAGATGAAGAGGATTTACTTTTTTGTGCCCATGTCTGTGGGAGTTCTGGTCATTTAATGTACATCAACATGAAATTGTTTAATCCATTCAATAATAGGGAGTAAAAGTGCTTCACTGTAGCTCTAGAACTATCAGGTACATTGTAGCTACAGCTCTCAACAGATGGAGAGTGGGCGGCCAGTGACACTGAGGTTTTGTTAAGAGTAAGCCTGCCAGTTTGGTTGTGCTGTAAGGCTTGACTGATACTGCATCCATGTATTAATGTTTTTATTTTCACTTGCAGCATTTCTTCCTAATAAACTTCATGTTGAAAAAAAGTTACAACTTTTTTGCTTTTGTTGTTATTTTTTGTCCATGCTCGCTATTTTGCTCCTTTAATTTCTTGTCTTATTTTTAAATTATATGTAATTTCCAACACTTTCAAGATGATTTCAGCTGTATTGTGGGTCTTCATCAATAAAAGCCTTCATTGCTGTTCAGTAATTTGGTTAAACCCTATTAAAAATGGAGTATAGCCAGGACTGAATTTACTTGGCATTACTGGTTTACAGTAGCTACCCTGGCTGAGAGATTGACAAGTCGGAAACTTTTTTATGAGAAATGAGCTAGGAAGCTGCCTCAAAGGCGAAAAGGAGACGAAGATGGGACGAAGAGAGCAATAAGAAACGAAATGCACATGTCTGAAACATGATATTTACAGGTATGTGCTCAACCTTCACCTAAACCTTTGTTTAAAGATGCACTTCACAGAGTTCTTATGTGAAACTCCACCTTAACAGATTTTTTTTTTATTTTCTTAAGCTTTAGCTCATTGTGAAAAGTACTTTTCACTTGAGGCCTTCTCACAGCTGCTACTATGCTCTAGCCCTGGGGTTCTTAACCGGGAGGTCACAACGTAGCCCAAGGGCATTTGCGCAATAAGCAATGAAAAAACTACAGGAGCTAAGAGGCCAACAATCTACCCTCCAAAAAGCCACCACTGTGAACCAGAAGGCACTTAAGTCGTCTTTCATCATAGCGAACTGGATTGCCAAAACATGGAAGCCACACACGTAAGGTGAGACTTTTTTCTTACCTTGCGCTAAGGAAATGGTTTCAATCGCGTGGGAAAAGCACCGCAGAGCAGCTAGCATTGATACCAGTGTCAAATGATACCGTGTCTAACCACAGTGGGCGTATGACAAGAGACGTGGAAGAGGAAGTGATTGCTTAGATAAAATCTAGTGTGCAGTTTTCTTTACAGCTTGACCAGACCACTGATGTCTGCGGAAATGCTTGTTTACGCCAGATTTGGTGAAGAGGGAGAAATTAATTAGGCTTTTGTGTTCTGTCGTCCACTTCCTGAGCGTGTCACTGGCGATCAACATTTTGTTTTGCTGGACACATATGTACGTGAGCATGAAATTGACTGGAAAAAGTGTGTGAGAATCTGCTCAGACGGTACATGAGCTATGACTGGCAAACACAGTGGGCTAGTCACGAAAGTATAGGCCGTTGTTCCGTTCACTTTGTGGAGGTGTCGTATGATTCATCGATAAGGCCTCGTGGCTAAGAAAATGCCCCCCGAACTCAAACAAGTAACGGATGAAGCTGTTCGTACTCTGAATTCCATCAAGGCCAGTGCATCAAGCACATGACTTGTAAAGGGAATTCCAAGCATTAAGCATATGATGACTGGAGAGGCAGCCTTTTGCTACTACGCACCCAAAACTGTGGAATAGTACTCCTAAAATATTAGAGGCCGGCCCTGTGTTTTTTTTTAAACGGCAGCTTAAAATATTTTTTACTCTGAATTTTTAAAATATAATTTCAGTGCTATTTGTATTGTTTGTGCATGGTTCTTTTAAATTATTGTTGCTTATTTTAAGTTACTTAAAGTGTTTTTAACTTGTTTCTAACAAGCACTTTGAGTTACAAAACATCGTATGAAAGGTGCTTTATAAGTAAAAATTATTAAGTGAGTAGGCTTACAATTAATACACGGTGACGATTTTTAAATCCGTGTGAAGGGGGCGGGTAGCGAAATATTTTTAACCCCCCAAAAGGGTCATACTCTCAAAAAGATTAAGAACCTCTGTCTTATCTCACGAAAGGACAGTGAGATCTGCAGAAGTCTACCAGCTTTAAGTAGTAAAGACTGTTTTCCGTGACATCTCTCCTCACTGAGGTCAACGGAAAAAATACATTATTGTTTACAAATAAGCACCAAAGAGACACTGGTGTTAAGAGATTACACTGCTTTTATTAACAGCATATTGAAGTGCCCCCTTTTATCGCGTAGCGTGGCCAGGGGGTTTTCACATGACCTGTAACCGTCTCACACCAGATAGCAGTGGCAAATAACCTCTCTCGGTCGATTCCGGTTGGCCAGGTGCGCTTAACTGTCTTCCTCCGGGCGTGCCAACCCGGAAACCGACCGAGGCTGCTATCAATGTTATCCCACTATACTCAATGCTTCCTAAAACCTCGAGGATTTATGGAAAGGCCATTTTACTTGCCTCAAGAACCGCTTACATAGGGAGCTAAAGTCACCAGGTGCAGCCAATTCCGTGATTTCCCTGTGAGAATCCGAGGAATGTGGCTCTCCTGATGAAAATGTCTCCGTCCCATAATGACTCACCTGTGCTCCCAACCACAGCGTTGCTACGCGGCAGTATCAGTTATGAAGATCCATGGATTGTGTCAGTATTCTACTGATAAATAACTTGATCTAACTATTGTTTTTTAAGCTGGTTTTGCTATTAAATGACTATCCAGTACACGTTACATGGCAGTAACTTTACTTTTAGCTTGACTTCTGTTACAAATTAAGAAGATTCTTATAGATAACTATATATTAATGTTTGTGGAAACCAGTAAAATAGTGTAATGGGGCATAGATATCTCCTTGTAATGACTATCACATAATTTAATGTAATTTAATGTGTTTCGGGTAGCTGTGTCAGCATACTAAGAGCTGCAAAGGAACAAGTAAAGGTTTATTCCGTGTTGGAAAGAAAAAAACAATGTTTCGGCTGTGGAGCCTTCTTTGGCTCTGCCAGTGTGACACCCGAAGAATGCTCCACAGCCGAAACATTGTGTTTCTTTTTATCAGCATAGAACAAACCTTTACTTGTTCCAAATTCAATGTATTATAGCGCCTGAGGGGCGGGACGGAGAGCCGCGAGACAGCTTCTTCCTTTCCGTGTCTGTTAGCGTATCGCTGTATCCCCAATCCTTGTACACCTTTCCCCGGTTCCAGTTAATAAATGTGTTGTTTAACCCCTTTTCCTGAGACCTATGCCTGCTCCATTCCGTGCCGAAACCCGCGGTCGTTACAGTATTATTTCTGCTTGTAGAATTTTAGTTCAAACTAAATGTCAACAGAACTTTAGTGTATGGTTTCAAAGAATATGAGTAATAGGGTTTCTTCTGACAATAACACTCTACGATTTTGAAGAGCTGCACTGGTATTTGGCCACTAGGTGGGACTATAGACTTGAGGTACTCCAACAATGTATTTCTGAAGTTAGTCTGTCGAGATGTTCCAGAAATCCTTCTGTGCACCCATTTTAAAAGAGAATTACAAAATGTTACACATTTTGAATGGTACTAGCGTGGTGCCTTGCTAGGGCCAGGACCATGGGTTCAATTCCTGTGGTGCTACTGGTGTGGATTTGAAATGCTCTCCCTGTGTTTGTGTGGATTTCCTGCAAACGTTCAAAGACAAACTGGTAGGTAAATTGGCTTCTGGGGAAATTGGCCCTGGTGTGAAAGTGTGCATGTCTGTGTGAGCTCTGCAATGGGCTGGAGTGGTTAGCAAATTAATGAAGGATACAAATTTCATCTTACATGTGTCTTCCAACAGATGCTTGAAACTAGTTTTTTGGGGGCACTGATGTAGTTCAATAATTTTATTAGTCTCACTGTAAGTGCACTACTTATCGCTTCAAAAAATGCATAAAGTGTACATTAAATCATAGTCATTTTGGTAGTAGGTGCACAGACGGGGAAATTCATTATGCTGATGAATATTTGTCGGCAGTGCAGGTGATAAATTGGCTAGTCACAAGCTAGCATGTGGTGTGATGATTATTGTTGGAAGCATTACAAGTGGTACATTTGACGTGCATGACTTGCACCAGCTTGTAGATTCTGTCTTGAGTGCAAAAAATCAATAATACAGATTTGGTCTAAAGTGTCCCGCTTTAATCCTTTTAATTATGTTCCATGTGTCAATACATGTGTCCAAAGAAAAAAAAACTACACTTCCCATCCTGCTTTGTGCCAACTACATCCTGTTACAACCGCCTGAAGGTGCTGGTATCCACGGATACCACAGCAGTTGGGAAAATGGCAGAAAAGGAAGAGCCGGGGCCGGGCTGTGAGCCGCCCGCAGCCCAGGAGCCAGAGCCCGAAAGCCCGCACGGTCTTCGCTCCCCTTCCGTGACCTTCAGCGAGACGGTGCAGCCGGCGGTCACAGGAATGGTGTCACAGCTGTTCATGCAGCCGCCGCAGCTGAAATTTGACAAAAATATCAAGCAGGCCTTCTATAACACCGGGGCAATGATCTTCGTAGCGATCTGCTGCGGGGCTGCCGTGTTGGTGTACTTTATACTGGAGGCCTTCCTACGACCACTGCTGTGGGCTGTCCTATGCGGCACTTTCCTGCACCCTTTTAAGTACTCGCTCGCCCGAATCGGCCGGTCGTGGCTGTCCAGTTTGCAGGACACCGGCACGCCGATCGTGCTGGGCACTTTGCTCCTGCCGGTGTGGTTCTTTAACTACGTGGTGGAGATGCTGGGGGCATTGGTGCTAGAGAAGCTCAAGATCCTGCTGGTGATCGGGGCTGGTCTCCCCCTAGTTTGCTTCTTTTACTACTTTGGGAGCGTGATTGGGATACAGGTTATAATCGGACACACCTGCGAGATCATCTGCGGCGCTCTGGATTATTTCAAGGCGACCTGGGTAGGTACAGCGAGCGCCACACCCCCGTCCGTAGTAAACACGCAATTCCTTTCAGGCAGGCGAAGGGGGCGTACTTATTTTCCCAAACACTTCCAGCCACGTGGAAAGAATTGGCCGTCTTCGTTAAAGCAACAAATTCCATATTTAGTGTGGTGCGCATCTTTTACTCAAAATCGTTCTTTGAGTCTATTAAAATAATTTATTTTTGCGTTCTCTGGACTGGCCTCTTGTTTTATTCCTTTGCATGAGGTTCGTGTGACTGTGCCGCTCCAGCATTTTACAATCTGTTGGTTTTTACATATGTTTTTTTAAGATAGGCTGTATATCTTGCTGATTCTACTTAGTGCGATTGTGGTCTGAAATAAAATCACGTTTTCCAAGTGCCGTTTGGCATGTTGGAAATTAAACTTTTGCAGTGTTAATGGAGCTACCGAGAGCAGCACAGGATTTGTATTTAAAAAGCTCGGCCTTTTCTAATTATAGCATACCAGTTTTTCTGCAAGTCTCGGAAACGCTTAAATAAGGGGGAAAAACCTCTATACGCTAAGGGTCTGTTTGACTCTTGCAGACTTCAAGTATAAATAGATCAGACCGTCAGTGGGTTTGCTATACTTGTATTGTATCTTCAAGGATGAGTTTACATTGTGAAGAATTTGTCTGCTACTGTCACTCCAAAGAGATTAGTCCAAGGACAGTCGATCCTGCTCTCTAAAAGCCACGATCCTCAAGGCTTTACAGATCACCCTTAAACCGCCACTTTGTAAAGCCTTGGAATACTTGACTTTTGATGAATTAAGTCTGTTAATTAGTTCAATTAGTTAAGAATCTTCCATGTTCTGGATAAACTGAAAGCGTTTGTATTTTATCATTTCAAATGATCGCAAACGTACGTATTTAAATAAGTCGCCCACACACAGTAAGTAGTCAAAACGAAGTTGTTCCCAGGGTTTACAAATGAACGCTTTAAGGGTGACAGAGGGTTAACCTTACCTACACTTGAATATAAAGTGTCCCTCTTTCCCTTGCAAGCATTTTTTGTGAGGTGGCATTGAGGTTGACTTTAGTCCTTTTGTCTGAAAAATGGTTTGCAAATGCAATTAATAATTCTTATATTACCACAGTTCTGCCAGTTCAGCTGCATGTGTACCATCATGCCTAAATGGCTTCAGACACGTTAACTAGCCATAGAAGTTCAGGTAGGTAGCTGCGTCCGCATGCGTAGACTGCAAGGAACAGGTTAAAAGAAAAGAGAAATAAAAAGAAAAGGGACAACGTTTTGGTTGTAGAGCCTTTTTCAGGTGTTGCCTCGGAGATTGTCGCCTCACCTCAAAGGAAGGCTCTATAGCTGAAAGGTTGTGTCTCTTTTCTTTTCCTTTCAGCATGGATTAAACCTGTATCTGTACCTTTACTATACATGTCATTTTGTGGGTGACATCTGCGTGAAAACTGTAATAACATTCTTAACCTTTTTTTTTTCATTTAACACACAGTATTGAAAAGACCAGTTGCCTAGCATTTCCCTCTTTTGCAGCTTGAAAACACGAATGGCTTATTTCAGAAAATGATTGGAACACTTTGTTCTGAGTTTTTAAAAAAAAACAACTCCTTACTTGAACGAGCAGTTTTCAGGTTGCGTGACTTCGGCTCCCCCCATAATAAGGGTCGGATGTCATTGACAAAACTTCACATTAGCGTTTGTCTCGGTGCCCGGAGAGAACCTTTCCAACCCTGCACAGCGGCAGGTGGAAATGTGAGCGGTCTGGCCAGTTCACAATGTGTGACCCACGTGGAGATGTAGCATTTCTCCTGATTCAGTTCGTCGTGGTGAAATGTGAATGTTTCCACCCTGCTGAGGAGTCCCTGTACAGTGGGCTCATGTCTGTGCTCCCCCAGGTGTGCACGTTGGTGGCCGGATATGTGCTGGCTGTGATTTTTAAATGGAGCCCCAGCACAGAGCGGTATCTGAGGGCCATCTCAGTGCCTGTGTGGACCGTGCTGCTCTTCTACCTGGGTGAGTTGACATCATCTCCTATCGCAGCTTCTCCAAGTTAGGTTTTTAAAAATGTCTTTTGGCCGAACCTTGTATCTTCCTTTTCCAACTGCCGGTGGCGTTTTCTGTGTTTTTACTGTCCACTGTCGTGCATTCACAGCATTTTTGTAGTAGTTTTACAATGTTTTCATTGTGCATTTGATTTGCCATGGTTTTTAATGGTATGCATGATGCTTTATAATAACTCGTAGTGTGCTACCTGTTATGCTTTTATTGATTATCTCATGGTGCTAAATACAGTGTGGTGTAATAGAGCAAAATGACGTCATCAATTTTATTATATGAGTAATGTACACTGATACTTTAAATTTTTCCAGATAAATAGGCAAGCACCATATTTATTATTTTCTTATCTATGAAATTTTGAATATTGGGTTTTTGGGACTAGTTTTGATTATTCTTGGCAGACTTCAAATTAGTAGTTGTGGCCTAGTAGTATATGTCTGAATGGCCCCTTCTTTTTTGCAGACTGTTCTGAGGTTTCAGAGGTGGATATGGCAGAGTGGTGGTCCCTCTTAGTAAGGGTGTAAAAGCTGTTATGTAGTGGTGGAGCTGTCATCGAGACCCTCAGGGTGGTAGTTGCGATAGTTATGTCTCACGAGGCTCCTCTCTGTCTCTCCAGCTTCTGTAACTGGCTCCTGGAGGATCCCTGTGTTTGTCATCGTCTTGTCTCTCCTCCTTGTGGGCAGCCTGCATGAGAAACAGCAGGTCCAGGGCAAGTGTAAGTGCATCCCTTTTGCACTGAATAGGTCTTTCTGTATTTATTGTGTACCAGCTAAAAGTCTCATTGAGAAGATTGAATGTTTGAATATTCAGTTGCCATGTTTCAGAGCGGGCTGGAATGTAAGCTTTGGCATTGAAATTCCTTTGTTTTTTTGCACTCTCTGAGCCAGCTCCATCACAGTTTGTATAAAAGTGAGCATGCAAGCGAAGTTCCAAGATCTAAAATTAGTGTAGTTTTACATTACAAGTGGTAGTGGAGAATTAATGAAACAATACACTCAGCACAACTTGCTTTCCAGCTCTATTATTTTAATTACACAGACTACATCACAAGGTTAATGATGTTTTAATGATCACCTCTCATGAATCATGAATGCTGCACATTGTTTGTCGTGAAATCTTTGAGAAGCCACAGGGTGCATATAAAAGTGGAAATGATTGAATGCAGTCTGGAGAGCAATGTGTGTGTTGGGCAAACAATTGGAGATTTTACAGGGACACCTTAACCCTCTTGTTTGTGTTTATCCAGCTGGGGAGCTGTCAGGCAAAGTCCTGTCCATTGCTGCTAACACCATCTTCATGGCCATCTCCTGTACTGGCTTCACAGAGCAGGAGCCGGAGGACGAGACCTCCAGTTCACAGCCTGAGGGTAAGTGGGGGCCTTGTTGAGGCAAACTGGGTGTGACAGAGCAGATAGGAAAAGAGCAACAGGCGTAATAAGTTTTAATAAACCATTCAGAACCAAGAGTTGTTATGTGAGTAGGACCTTGTGTGTTCACAAGCGATTTGTTACTCTTCCTTTTAAAAAACGAGTAGTAAAAACCAAGAAATGGTATTGTTGTCTTCACACTCTAGAGAATATTGTTAAGTACATTATACAATGTTTAAAAAACAGTTTTCTTATTTTAGTGTTTTAAGTGGTCTGTCCTGGTCTACGTAATTCTCCTCTAGGAAAGGAATGCACAGTCTCCTTCCTTGTAGACCTCTCCTCACTTGGTTTTACTCACACACATGTCCTCTAAACTCATAAGACCTTCTCACCAGCTCGTCACTTTGTCTGAGTTAATCACCAGGCACTGGGGTATTCCGCTTGATTAACTCTGTGTTGCCCAATTCTCAGTCTTCACTTTCACTCATGAATTGGATCTTTACTAATCTTTACTAAACACCACCAACTTTTTCCATCTGATCCTATTTGGCCAGGGGCACTTCTGTATAACCAACACTTTTGCCCCTAACAAAGCAGCAGTTGGTTTGCTCTCATTTCACCCTCTACAAGACTGCCCCACCAGACTGCCTATCTGTCTGTGGATTTTAAGGCACAGGGAGAACTTGTGGCTCAAGCTGTGCCGTCTAGACTTCTCTCTCTGCACCGATATGCTGCTATCTTGATAAAGGATGCTCTACTCCTCCAGTTAACAACATGATCAGCCAGCCCCAGTTTAGCTGGCCAGCCCTTTCCGTGGCAGCACTCTTCAATACCAATGCGACTGGCAAACATACTACTCTGCATGCTGCCTGGCCAGCACCTGTGACACCCTTCAGTACAGCCTAAGCTGTATTTACTACTGTTACAAGCCTATTAATTAATTCAGAGGACTGGATCATACCACACAAACCCTATGCTAACAGCTCCTTTTCCCCTACATGGAATTTCACTCCCTCTGAGTGCCAGTTACTCATTCAGACCAACTGTGATTCATTCTGCAGGTCTCCTTTGAAACAGGTGGGCATTTGATTTTGGGTATATTTTCATTAGTATAGTTCTTAAATCATTTATTTGGGACTCAATGCTGAATTTACAGCAGACTTTAAAGTACATTTTAAATGTGCTTCCTAGTGACACCACATTGAGACAAAATACTGCAATGGATTCACCCCATGAAATTGCTGTCTTATTTAGTTTTTTAAAGTGAATATATTTAAATGGGTAAAAGAAATATCAGCTAAAAGTGCACAGAGAGATCAAAAGTTAGATTTCACAGATTTATCCTCTATGACCCAATGAGATCACAGGCTTCATTTTGTTATTTCTTATTCATATAATCTGTCTGCTGAGGGGTCGCTCATTAATTCCTACAGCTTCATTGCTAAGCAGACATTACTATGTATTCATAGGACAGTGAAAGCAGTGGCATTGCAGAATTGGAGGTTGTACTTAGAAACAGATGGAATCTAAGCTTTCTGTCTTTTGCTGTACGGTTGTTCATTTTTTGTTTTCTGACTAGATAATGGCGTGGGACTTCTGGCTTGTCTCCTGCAGATTCCTCCAGTAGTGGGAGCCCCGGCTCGGGCTCTGCTTCCCCCAGCCGGGCGGCTAGGCGACCACGCCCAGAGCTGCGCTCGCTGCTGAAGCGGAAGAAGGCCAGCGACATCTACTTCGTGCTGCTGGTGTGGGCAATCATCATGGTGCAGATCTGGCTCAACCTGTGGATCCTGCAGCTGCTGCCTGTCCCCGTGGCTGGTAAACCTGTCCGCTCCCTCGCGCTGTTTCCTGCTGATCCGGCATCTCATCTGGCTTTATATTTAAACAATGTACTGTTGATGGAAAAAGTCCCTCATTGTACTGTAGCTTTGGGTGCATTCATTGTACTGTAGCTTTATTTGTTTCTTTTTTTTGTGAGTGATTGTCTCAAGATCCTCAAATTTAAATTATATTACTGAAAATGACAGCTGTGAAGAATATGGTTGACTGCAAATACAACTTGCCAGGTCAACAGTGTTAATGATTTCATTGCCTGCAGGTCCAGTTAAGATGCAGAGGTTTAAGGCAGGTTAGGTTTTTGTCAGCCTACTAGTAGAAAATCAGCTTCACTCTTGGAATGTTTTATTAACTATTAAGTATTTTCATCAAGTAACCGATTTCTTACAGTTCTGTACAGTATTGAAATGTGAATGCATGCATGGACTCAGGATGGGTGCTTATCGACATTAATCCCGATTTATATGCTCTTCACAGTGTGGGTGCTGAAAAAGTTGGTGGTGCACTTTGGCCTGATGGACTTTGCAGAGAGGAGCTTGGCATCTTGGTGGGCAGTGATAGCAAAGTTTATGCAGGAGCGCCAGGATGCCTTGGCTCCAGGACCCATTAAGGGCCTGGCACACTTCCTCCTAAAGGTGGACACAAAGGTAATGTCACACACCCTCTGTACTGTCTGTGCCGAGAGTTCAGGACTGTACAACAGTGTACCTGCTGAGAACACCCAAAAGTGCAGAGCAACACAGCTAGGAACCACAACAGCCATGGCAGCACTGTTCAGCTGCTTTTCATTGTGCAAGTATCAAAATCAAAATAATAAGCCTGCATATCACAAGTTTCACTGAAAGTATTTCACCATTATCACTAATTTTCAGAGATACTTGACATCTTCTATTGCTTATTAATTCCAAATGCAGCATGAGTCTGTGTGCAAGTCAGAGTCTGACTCTCCAAGAGAATTCTTCACATGTGCCACCCAGTGTTCCACCAAGGCTGTCTGAGCATGTGAGTCTGACAGGCTTGTAAGCACTGAGGTGGACTCATCTGTGACTTATGTTGAAAGCAGAGTAGACACCAGTGGTAATCAAGTGTTTGACTCAATTGTTGACAAAAAATGCACTTTTAATGAAAAAAATCAGTATTACCCTTAACATGGATTCATAAGAAAGATCGATAATCAGGCATTTCTTCATGCTTGTTTCCTATGGTCAGTTTCTCAGGTTTCTATAAACTTGAGAACTCTTTTGTTATGCGCGTAAATGAAGTACACCGGAGATGGCCGGCGCTGACTCATTAGGAAACCAGAACGTGCTGGGCTAAACATAAAACTGTATAACAAAATATCGTAGTGAGCGTTCACTTCTAAATTCCAGTAATCTAAACGCTTTTAGAGCTCGGATTCTTTTCCTTGAATCTCTCCACGCCAGAGGACTTTTTCTTGGCTCCTCGTTTTCACTCCTCCTGCGGTCAAAGCCCCCTCTCCCGACGCGTTGAAATTATGTGATGCATGCCTGTCACCTGTGCCCATGTCTGATCTCTCCAATAATCCCCCCATGTCTTCTTGTCTTCTTCCTGAAAGCTGTGGCATTGGCTTAACAAGCAGGTAATAATCTGATGGTTGTAATCTGCAGTACGAGAGAGAGAGAAAGTGAGTGAGAGTGTGATTTGCGCTCCCATTAGAAGCCTGGACCTAAGCTTTGTTCCATTCACCCTGTCAGACTTTGCATTCCTCCTGATTTGCTGCTTAAGTCATGGGCTTTCAGTTGTTTTAGTCGTGTTGCTATCTAATGCAGCAAGCTATGGAAGGTTGATATTTTTTCTCTGAAGCATACCCTAGAGTTCCAGATGTGTAGCTGACATTTATGAATGCAAATTAGGTTTTTGAATAAGGTACAGGAAGGATCAATTCTAAATGAAGCTCTTCTGGTTATTAAGAGAATGCTGTTTTTTTAATCAAGATGATGAAACAACTGTTTTTTTGCCTAAATGTGGCCCGATTCACTTTCATCCTCACAGATATGACATGACAACTTTAGAAAACAAACTAATGCTCAAAATGTAGACTTGCTGGTATCATGAGGAATTTTAGGGTATGATTTTTGTCCCTCACGTCAATATCATTTTGAAAAAAAGCATATCTGTGATATGTAAGAGAAGTACAACATCATCTTTTTTGACAATTCAGATTTGTCATTGATAAGTGTCATTTTTGTATCTTGTCTGGAGGACATGACTGCTTATTAGTAGAGACATCAATACAATTTGTGCTCCTGTGCTGCCTAGAATAAAACTACAAAATAAATTATTTTCAAGAAAATAGATTCTCATCAGATAATTGTTATGGTTACACAAGCAATCTGAAGACCTGTAGAATGGTTATAAATGAGAGGAGGCCTTTCATATAGTTTATTTTTTCGGAAGCTAATTGATCTAAGGAACATTTCTTTAATCTTTAGAACAAGCAGCAAACATGAATTAAATTAGTACATGGTTTATATACATAATAACAAGTACTTGTTCCCTGGAGTATCCACTCATACCTCCCTTGAGCTGCTGAAATAAGCAATGAGTTTTGTAGCTTTATTTGCTGAGATGTGTAGTTCAGTTTTAGCTGTGTTTGGCAATATAATTTCCTTAGGTGGACCAGAAGTGAGCTTTCTTGTTATTTAGGCTCCAGCCTACAGAAAATGAAACCTTCCATAGCTTATGCTTCTGTAAAACTGGTTGGCTTGAGTGGTTCTGATGCATGAAGAGCAAACACACCCTTTTAGACTGTTGTGGGCTTAATCTCAGGTCTCTGGCCACAACTAGAGTTGGTTCTTGGTGTCATTTCATAATGCTGAAAGTGTGCTGTTTTCCTGTATAAAACCATTTAAAGCTGTGGTCCTGACATCTGTAAATTCCTGTTCTGAGCTCCTGTGGCTCAAGAGTCAGTGTGTCAGAACGTCAGATTAAAGGGAAGCTGTTCTTCCGAGGAATCCATCTAAGAAAGGTCTGCTGAGAGCCGCCTTCTCAGGTATTTGATCTTATCTGACACAGGCTGGAAGACGTCTAGCTCTTTGTTAGTAATGCAGCACACATGAAAATGCTCTTTCTTTGCTGGGTCTCTTTGTTAATACTGCCCCAGGAGGACTTCAGTTCAGAGCTTGGTTTTGGCATTTATTTTACTGTCCAGTAACAGATTGCTTAACTTGGAAGTCAGTTAACATTCTATCACATTTTCCCATGCTAGGAGGCCCAAGGAGAGTTGTCCTACAAATTCAAGGTATTAGCTGTTTGCGTATTTTTATCGCCGCGCCTATGAGCAATGAACTCTATAACAATGAACAAAAGCTTGAAAATAATGAGGACATCTCACACAAATGCAAAATAGTAATCTCGTTCATAAAAATGATCACTTGTGAGACTGCAATGAAATATCAACTTAAAATAAAAGTGTTGTTAAACAAATAGGGAGTACTATGCAGAGCATGTGCTGTTGTTGAGGGCAAGATGTCGTACTTGTGTTTATTTGCACTTGGAACAGGAAGTGGAGCTTGGATAAAATATTCCTGTGCTCTGTTGCTTTGGCTGCAGTATTCTGTTTGCATACTTAGGGCCTCTTAAACAGAAGATCATGCTCACCAAACTGTACTGTCATTCTGGGGTAATTACTATGACAGTGAGTCACACAGATGTTTGTTTGTTGATCTCAAGCAGTGAATATATTAGTTCTTTAATACCAGTTATTTAATTCCTCATTTATTGCCAACATCCTTGCATGTTTTCAGTTTTGATCTCTTTGACTATTTGCGGCGTCAACAAACTATTCCACAAATACTCATTTGAAACATGATTCATTGGAAAGAATTATGCTTGGCAGGATTGGGAGGCAACAACATTCTGAAGTCTCTCTGTTCAGCATGGAGGCACTGAGTTAACAGTACCTCCTCACTGTCTACTGTTTCTGGAATAGTTAATATTGCATAAAGATGCTAAACTGGTAATAATAAATAATCACGTGTGACAAAATATTAAAGGACAAGTCAAAACATATAATAGGATTCCTTTCCCAGTCATTAAGTCAGATTATCAAGAGACTGGGTGTTTCTTTTTAGTGAAAATGACCTATAATGCTTTGTTTTTCAAGGTAAATGTGCGCTTGTTCCAAGTTTAATCTGTGTACTCTAAGTTAACTCAACATAAAATTTAAATTCCCAAGGCGTGCTATTCAGTTTAATAGATCAGTGTAGCATGAGAAAGCGACATTCATGTCTTTAATCATCACAGGACAGCAGGGTATGCGTGACCTAAGGAGGGGTGCAGTACAGAACTCTCCTCTCAGTCTCCATTAACTTCACAGTAGGGAGTTAGGTTATTGTGCACATTAACATAGAGAATCGATGGAATAGACACTTGGAAAGTAATGCGATATAAACAACAAAAAACATTTAATAAAGTGTGTTAGAGACAATGATTCAGAATGCAGTAAGTATTGAAACAGGCAGGGGGGTCTGTCCACTCACAGGGGCATCAGATATATGGCAGTTCCGTAGCATGTGTTTTTGCAAATGTTTCTGAAAGGGATACATACAGGAAAACAACATGAATTTAAAACTATGACTAACACCTGTGGCATCTTTACAAAAAATAGGACAGTAATCCACTTACACAGTCCAAAATGGTCTTTTGGTGACTTTTCCTGATTTAATGTGTAAGTGTGACAGGATAATATAGCTGGAGAAACCTGGGACTCATAGCTTTCAAGTTTTGACTAGTGTCTGTGTATTTATTTTCCAGAGCACCTTTTACTGGCTGAACTGCTGAAATGTTTTAGAGCCAAACGAGGAAAGACCGCTCACTGCTCACTGGATGCCATTTTGGAATAGCCCAGAGGGCAGAGTGGGAGTGTGAAAAAAGAGATGAGAATCGGCGGCACTCATTCCCGTTTTAAATCATCTTATGTCATTTATTGTTCATTGTGAAAACTATCACTAGCTGAGAGTTAATCAGACTTTATTAACTCGTCTGTTTAGACTTCTGATTTCTGTGGGTGGTGGGGTCTATCTGATAGAGCTATGTTGATCTTCAGAAAACATGGATGCTGGTCACACTTTTTGAGCAGACAGAATTGGTCCATGCCACTAGCACTAGAGAACTATAGACACAGGTTTCTCCCGGTATCCAGTCACTCTTGCCTGTCAGAGCCCTATTCCCCTGAGAGACAGCCCCTGACGACCCCTTTTTCTCTTTCTTTATCTCTCTCTTCAGATGATTGTGTGGCTTGAACGCTCCCTGGACAAGCTCATCAGCATTTTCATCATCTTCCTCCTGGTCATGGGCACCTTGTTACTGGCTCTGCTGCTTACTGCCAAGGTATTGAGTGTGCAGTGTAGGGGGTCCATGAGGGTAGAGGTGCATTCAGGCACGGGCTAAAATTTGATCTCTGAAATAGAGGAGAATGCTATAGAAATCAAGCTGTAGGGGCAGTGTCAGATCAGTCCTAAAGATGTACATCAAAATTTGTCCAAAATTCATTATGATTTTTCAAGTTGGAAAGAAACTCTTAATAGGTTGATGTGAGTGAATGGAGCAGCACTTGTGGCTGCATTTTCAATATTATTTGAATCTGCCTGGAAAATTTTGCATAGTCAAATGCCACCTCTCTATCCATTTTCTAACCCCTTTATCCAATACAGAGTAGAAATGTATCCTATCACGCGACAGGTGCAAGGCAGGAGCATAGTTAATGGTCTAACTGAATTAATGTTTAAAAGATGGTACCTTTTAATTTCATTGAGACATATTTGGGTATCAAAAGTTTCCATTTCCATTTATGTACACTAAAGTTTATATTACAGTAATATATAGTATAGTAAATATGATAGTCATAATGGTAATTTAGTTTATGGTAATGGTAGACCCTGACCCTAGCTCAGGGTGTAAACAGGAGTAGGGATTGGCAGGGAGGTGGTGTGATTAGAGCCATGTGTTTCAGTGCAGCTTTCCAGGAAGGTATCAGGATACCTGTAATCTTCTCCCTTTCTGCAGGTTCATCATGAGAGCGTGCACATCATTGAAGTCACCAGCAACCTCATCAACGAGACCGTGTCCAATCATCCAGAGTGGGCCAAGTAAGAAACACACTCTCCAGCTGTCTTGCTGCCGAGAGAACAGCTGGTATCCAGTATACAGGCACTCTGTCGGGTACCACACCTGTCACAACTGATGTATCTAGATTGAAAATATGAAGTGATATTAATTGGGTACAAATTTCTACTGCAAATGGCAGAATGCAGTGCCAGGTTGTATCTCATGTCCTCCTATGATAAATGAACACATGACAGCGTGGTGGCTGGCTGTGTTTGTTGATTGCAGTGCTGACATGAGGTGAATTATGGAGCAGGCTGAAATCACTTTGTGTTTAGGCTGCCTGGCTCATGTAAACCAGATCTCGGTGGGTTTCACAAGCTTATGCATGAACCATAAGTCACTGAATACCAACCCTTTAAATCAGAGGAGAAGCCCTGAATCTGTATAATGCTGTAAAAACTTTCCCTATACTGAGTTATAGCCCACACAAAGCAAAAATATGTATGATTTGTGGTCAGTGTTTTCACTTTCTTTGTTGATTAGGTGCTGTCAAACACTGGACCTTTCAAAGCACATGACTTGGAATTTGGCACAATCAGAGCAATGATTCTCATGATGAGTTTGATTTGATTATCCCTTACAAAATGAAGGAGATTATTGTAACAAGACAGGCAGTTGTGTAGTTAGTGTGGTGTTGTGTTTAGACTCCCACTGATCTTGATTATATTTACGCTGGATTAAATCAGGGTTTGTTCAGGGAACAAATGAGCTGGCTGAGGTTGGTGTGGTCCAGTTGGCAGGATTACCCCAGTGGGTTCTTCTGTGAGAAAGACAAATCAGTACCTTTTCCTGTTTCCTGTCTAAGAATTGAATACACAACACCGCGGAAAGTAACTTGTGTTTTAATTGTTTTAGGTGCTCCTGAAAAATATAGAACAACCTCCTTTGTCAGACATTATTCTCACATTCATTTCCCAGAGAGCCTGGTGTCTTCTGGTTTTAGTTCTAACCTGAGTGACTATTGTCTCAATTGTGAAGCTCTTTTACACTTGCCATCTCAAAACATTTCTATCATTAAAGGAACATTCATGGATGAGGCACCTTGAAAGTAAAGTGATCTGTAAAACTAACCAGATTAACCCTCTCCAGGACTAGGAGCTGTAAAATGATAAACGGGAGCATTGATGTGTCTGGCTGGCTCTCAATCTTTTTTTAACACAGTCATTCAACAGTAATTCTGCATCTATGGTGGCAGTCTTCACATTAACTGCCACTGGAGCCTGTAAGCTGGGATGGTTCAGCTAAAGGGTTAACAAGTTCTCTTAAGTGCATTAGATCCGTCCTTGATTTCCATATTAACCTCATAAAATTAAGTGATTATCTGGCATGTGCTGTAGTTCTGTCACAAGATTCTCTGAACCCTGCTTTGTCTTGCTCGCTTTACAAAAAGAAATGCTGTTTCAACTTGTTTATGCTCAAAATAATTCCCTCTGGTGCATGACGATCTGTCCTGAAATACCTCCGGTGCTGGGACATAAGAGAGTAATTTAGTCAATTGTTTTTCATATAAATTCCAGTATGTGCTTAGAGGCTAACATAGGCATACCCTATACCATAGGTCCTTAATAGGGACTTATGGATTGTAAATTATGAGCATAATTTTTATAAATCAACATTAATGGAAACCTTGTAAGAACTAACCCCTGGTTAGCACTGGTTTGTGTCTGGTATCTCGATGTCCTGACTGATTGTACTATTATTTTTTTGAACTGGGTTTCTTGAATCAGAAAATATTTTGTCTCTTTGATCCACAGCTGGCTCCCAGAGGCTCAGGTGGTGCAGAAGGCTCTAAATTCTGCTGCTACTAATGTGTACCAGTATGGCAGAGAGTGGATAACCCAGAAGGTAGGAAGATGACAAGGGACGATACTATTCCAGTCCGGTATTCCTCTAAGCCACACTAGGTCTGTTCCAATTCTGATCAGGTTAAACAGCAAGAACAATCAGAGAAAAAGTGATACAGTATTAAACAAGTTACGGCTGAGATGTGGGTGACCTGTGAGAAACGGACAACACCAGTGAAAACGGGGTTTAGATTTGGCGCTGAAACCCTTGACCTTTTCTTTTGTGTGTCTCCTAGCTTCACAAGATGCTGGGTGAGAAGGTGAACAACACAGCTGTGATTGAGAAGCAGGTGCTGGAGCTGTGGGACAGACTGTATCACTCCTGGTTTGTGAAGGTATAATCAGCAGAAGCAATGATCACCTGCTATCAAAAGAATAATTTTTAAACAAAGGGGCTTAAAACATGGTGCCTGAAAGTAGAAAACATTTACAATACTATTTCTACCCTCCCTACACACAATAATTGCTGACCGCAAAGCCCTACCGCGGGTGCTGAAAACTGCCCGGTCCATCACTGGGGTTGCCCTCCCATCTATACAGGACATTTATGACAGATGGTGCTTGAGGAAAGCTCTAAGCATCATCAAAGACCCCACACATCCCAGCTACAGACTGTATGACCCTCTACCATCTGGAAAACGGTACCGGAGCATTCGGGCCCGGACTACCAGACTCAGAGACAGTTTTTACC